AAAAAAAATAAGGAAGGGTGTTGCCAGTTCATGTTGTAAAGTCTCAATTCTGTTATTAGTGTCCCCTATCGTCTGTGTGTGTGAGAGAGAGAGAGGATGAGAGAGAGAGAGAAATGGGGTCCAAGGAGAGTGATTCCATGTAGCCCTGACTAGCCATAACTCTTATGTAGCTAAAGATGACCTTGAACCTCTGATTTTCCTACCTCCACCTCCCTTATATTCCATTTATTGGCCTACGCCACTGTATCATATTAGTTCTGATTCTTTGTTTTGTTAAATGATTGGTAGAAGAATATCTACATTTTTCTGGAATCAGTCCTTAACATTTGTCACCATCATCATTGACTCTATCTGTACCTTTGTGACGTAGGTAAAACAAAGATCTATGGCATTCTGTTGTTATTTAATGTTCTTCACAGACATCTCATTTGATCAGACACATGTCTGTGCTCTTTCAAGGAAACATTAAACAAAGAATAAATATATTCATTCTTTTCTTTATGTTTATACACAAATGATACTTTCAATACAGGGTTTCTCTGTATAGGTAGTCCTGCGTGGACCAGACTTGTAGACCAGTCTGTTTTGAACTCAGAGATCTGCCTGCCTTTGCATCCTGAATGCTGGAACTAAATGCTACATGTGTGCATCACCATGATGTATGTGTGTGTGTGTGTGTGTGTGTGTTCTCTTTTTTATCATTTTTTGTTGTTTTCTTAGTGGTTTGTGTGTTTGGCTCACACACAAAATATCTCAGCCATTTTCCCATATTAATTTTTCACTCATTAAGAAAAAAATAAGAATGGGGGCTGAGAGATGGCTCAGCAGTTAAGATCACTGGCTGTTCTCCCAGAGGACCTAAGTTCAATTCCCAGCACCACATGGCAGTTCACAACTGTCTATGCATGCAGGCAAAACACCAATATATATATATATATATAATCAAATAAATAAAAATTTTAAAACATGGTATTGCATTGTGTTTATATACCACTTTATTAAATATGCCTTTGTTCATGGATTTGGAGTGGGTCCAACCATTTTCATTCCAGAATTTGTGTATGTGTGTGTTAAAAACTTTTTTGTTTTTGGTTTTTTGTTTGTTTGTTTGCTTTTGGCAATTCTCTTATGTCTAATATAGCTTGAGTGGTCATAAATGAGATTGAGGATTCTGGGTACAAATGACAGTGGACCCTAGCTCCACCACTCCATATACAACCTTGGGCCATTCATTACTCCTCTATGTCCTTGGTCCCCATCACTAGGAATTTGGATCTTAGTGTGGAGATCCAATGAGCCTCCATATGTAATTGCAATTGCTACTCATTGTCAGCCTCATTATCTTTAGAATAGATTCCCAGATACCTAATTACTGTGTCAAAAATAAAGAACCATCTTGATTGTTTTTTAAGACAGAGTTACTTGTAGCCAGCAACATCCCTGTCTAAAATATAACATAACTCACATAGTTTAAAGTAGCTAAGAGGATAAAAAAAAAAAAAATGAAATGAAATTGAAAAGTTAACAAATCCAAAATGTTACTGTAACTCACAGACAATGTGAAATCTAATGGTATTTTATCTTCTCTGTTCTATGGTAAGTCCTTGAGATCTGGTATGTTCTATATTCAGAGCACAAGTCAGTTTGAACTAGCCGCAACAGGTGCTCATGGCCACATTGGCCATTAGCTACTCTATTGGATGATGTGGGTCTGGTGCCTTATAGCTGTGTGCTTGTTGCTTGGTTATATCACTAACTGAGCAAAGTGAAGATAAAACATTCATGATATAGATCCTTGTGTTTGACTTCTGTTTACTGTAAACTGGGGTCCAGGGACAGACCTGAAGATAACTGTTATGTAGAAATGACTTATCGGCCAGAGATGCATATTTCTCTATCTGGCGAACAGAATAATCCCAAAGGCCATGCTGTGCTTGCCCTGGAGAACACTGAATTCATTGTCTATAGTGTAGTAAAATACCCTAAAATTAAGTTCATTAAAGCAGCTGTAGTATTCCATGCTTTGCATGGATCAGGGATCCATGAAAGGTGCTTGAGTTCTTAGAGGAATTCAAAGAAAAATTTTCCTATGTTCTATAGCCATTTGTTTTCTCAGGAGATGTTAGGTTTGTGTTTCCCCAGCCAACAGCATAAGTTATAGTGTGCTGTTTTAATTTTGAACTTTTATCCAAAACACAAGGGAGAGGGATTGATATTGCCTGTTCTGTTTGTTGGTTTGTTAAATAACATAGCCACTGAATCCATATCTGCCTGCCTGTTTGTTGGTTTGTTAAATAACATAGCTACTGAATCCATATCTGCCCATACCCTTCTGTTAAGACCTGATCAGTACTAACCTGGGGCTAGCTCCTCCTCTGGGATTAAGATGGAAGATCTTTCCATGCTTTGCTTTATGTTCATTGCTACTTTTAAACTGATTTATAATAAAGATAAATTTTTTACAACTAGAAATGCCCAGGGAAGTTTTTAAATGTTTTTCCTGGAGTCAATATTTTAAAAATCTTGCCATATTGCATTATCACACATACACTTTAAGAAAAATTGACCATTTAAAAGTACTTTGCTCCCAGGCATACAGCTACATGGTAGTCTTGGGTATGGGAAAACCTCTGCTACCTTGCTGAAGTGGGTATTTCTTCCCCTACAGGTGCCTCCTAAATGTATTCTCCCACATAACCATAAAGTCATTGTCATATTCAAGTGAATGAGAATTCACTTGCTATAATCATGACCTTACATGTAATTCATATTTTGGTTTTCCTGGTTACCATAGAAAAACTGATTTAAAAAAAAAAAAATGTTTGACCCAGAATATAACCATGGTCTGTAACATTGCATTTGGATATGGTATTTGATCCAAACTGCCCCCCCACCACACACACACACACACACACACACACACACACACACACACACACGTTTTCTGTCCTGATTTTGTAATGTTTTATTTTTGAAGTGTTTGGGCCAGTTGCTTATTGAAATACCCAAGGAATGTTAACCCTGTGCTCCTCCAAATGAACTCCTGGCACTTACATTCTCAGTGGACACAAATTGCATATGACACTAAGGAACAAGATGCAGGAACTGTTTTCATCAGAGAGCTCAGTCTAGTACAGCCATGAGAAATCTACTTCCCAAGAAGTCTTCAAAATTAAGTATTTTCCTGTGATTACCCACCTTCTCTAATTCTAAAACCTAACCCAGTTGTCAATGCATGGTATTTTAATTTTGAAAGCAATTCCTATTTTCCTCCTAGCTCACTGTAAAAAGCTAAATTCTCTTAACCTTTTAAATGTATTTATGCTTTGGCCTATTTACATGTTGAAGCAGGAGCACTTTTTATTGCATCAGTCATGCACTTATATAGCTTTGAGAAAGAGGGTAGGGACCTCAGGATGGGGTGAGGTGTAAGGGCCAATAATATTTCACCATGTTAGCAGTGGGCAGAGGTGGAACGTTAGCCAGGCTCAGGAAGTTCCATTAAGCCTTGCGTCCAAACACAACATATAGATTTGCTTCCTCTAGTTTACCTTTTACACATTTAGTTACTTTGTCTTGATCACCCGATTTCAAATAGAAAGAATAGACAAGTGTTAGACCAGAAGAAGGGAAGAAAGAAGAACTCATCTTCATATGATTTTTGAGCATTTTCATTTATATTTCTTTTTGAAGTATCTCATGACATAAGTTTTAATTGAATAATGGTTCTCTGAAGTCACTGAAAGTAATGAAATGTCTTTTTGCATGAAGAAGCTGAGGCTTCTGTAGGTGTATCTGACATGTCCTGTATCCCGTGACTAAATATGATGGAGAAGAGGAGTAAGTTGTATTTCAAAGGTTGCTTTAGAAATACAATGTGTTAAGCTTTATCTTGGTCAGTTCAGAATCTTGCTGTTATTAGTTTTGACAAATGAACTGTGACTCTTTGAAGACCTTAGGAGCTTCCTGCCACCAGTTAACAGTTTGGTGCTCCTATCCCAGAAGCCTGCCACCATTGTGTTCCAACAGCAAGGCTCTTCGAAATTCCAACGGATGTTATTGTGGAAGTCTGAGGACATTGGTGAGGAAGCAGAGCTTCAACAAAAGCCTTCAAATGCCAGTTACTGCTGCTCTGCATTAAGCAGATCAATGAAGTTCATGGAAGTATCTAATACACCCTGACTACATAATTCACTGTGAAGACTTTGGCTCTGCCCTTCCTTCAAAGGCAATAGTGACAGGTTACCATGTGGTGCTCTCAAATGTGGGGCCAGCCTGGGCTACCTAGAAAATTATAGGCCATTCTTGACTGCACAGCAATGACATCCCCTCCAAGAAAATAAAAATGAAGTTGGAAATATGACTCAGGTTGTTATTTTAGAGGAACCAGGTTCAATTCCCAGTACCTACATGGCCACTAACAACTAGTTCCAGGGGATCTGGTGCCTCTTCTGGCCTCTGAGGGCACTGCATGCTTGTGGTACACTTGCATACACATAGGTAAACATCCATAAACATAAGACTTTTCTTAAGAGAAAATCAAGGTGACAGTCTACTACAAAAAAAAAAAAAAAAAAAAAAAAAAAAAAGAAGAAGAAGAAGAAGATCTTGGGGGAAGCAAAACCATTCACTCAGAAACTTGAAGTCATCATTAAAATCACCATTGGTTGTAAGTCAATGGTATAATCAAAATTGTGAAACAGCATCATTAGGGACTGAAATTCCTCTTCAGCAGGCTAATAATAGTTATGTTTATATTATGCACAGGCAAACCTGTGCTATATACACACATACGATACACATTGTATTTCTTTTTGTGTTTATTTTTTTCATTGAAGGTACATTTTGTTTCCTTATAGGAAGACTGGAAATACAAAACTCCTCCTGTATATGAAAACTCATAAATATCTAAGCCAAATGGCAAGTGGAATAACTCCTCTGGAAAGAAATATAAAAAGTCCAGCAGTCCTTAACAAGTTTCTTTCTGATTTTTTTTTCCCAGAAGTGTTTCCTGTACTTGAGTTACCATTTTCTGTTTTTAATTCATTAACATGTATTTAGCTGTATTTATGACTAGTAACAGTGTATATACATCAGTCCAACACCACTACCCTCTGAGGTGCTTGGCATTGCTAAGTGAGTTCATACCAAGCTTAATCACAGCACCTTCAATCATTGGCTTCAGTATTCCCAGTCTGACTCATTCCCCATTCCAGAAACTTTAGGACACATTACATCAGCTCTCCCCCTAGAACTAGGGTTAGAGAGATGGTTCAGTGGTTGGTTAAGAGCACTGACCACTCTTCTAGAGGACCAGGGTTCAGTTCTCACATGGCTACTGAAGACACTGGAACCACTTAGCCTTCCTGCCCTCAGACTCTCATTTTCTAAAGACGAGAGCAGAACCACCAATGACGTTCCCAAACAAAAACACAATTGGTGTCCATGAGATGCAGACATGTTAGCCCTCAAACGTAGACCAGGGTACCTCTGTGAAAGATTTTTTCACTGGTCATTTGGCATCAGATGGCCCCCTCAGTAACAGATTCAATCACCTCAATTTTCTTTGTTATATTAGTAGGTTTGGTAGAACCTTGCTAAGTTTCCTAGGCTGACCTCAGACTTGAGGGTCCTCCTACCTCATGTCCTGAGGTGTGTGACAGAGATATGTAACCCCAGCCTGACTTTGTCTCTATTTCTGAGCATCATGAACCACTATTTCATAAGATTCACATCCATAGGAAGGCTTTAAATTACCAATATTTTAAGAGCATAAATGGAATATCAGTCCACAGTTGAGGTTTATGATTTATCTTTCTGAGGATATTCTTCAACTGTGGGTGAGAATTAACAGGAAGAGTTAAGATACTTTTTGCATCAGGATGTTATCTAAAACAAGCATCTTAAAGTCTCTTTTAGCTTTCCAAACTGGTTGCTCTCCTTTTCACCTAGAGATTCAGTCATTTTGTTTGTTCCTTTGTTTTTGTTTTGTTTTGTTTTTTTCTAGTAAATTTTATCCCTCAGAACTTAATTTCTTAATTAACACCCTAATTTTGGAATCTTCAGAAAGATTAGGGAACACAATTAGGTGGCCAGGCATATATATACCCCCCCCCAATGTAGCTAGTATGAATATGAGGAAAGCTTGGGGGCTGTGATTCCTTTTAGTGATACAGGATTGGTGAGACCTAGGTGATACACACACCGGCCATTGCACAGCCACTGTGTGATAGGACTCTCAAAAAATTCTTAAAGCTGATTATCCTCAGAGGAATCACTCTCTGTCCCCCAGCAAAACTTTAAGTCCTGGTCCCATCTAAAAGGCACACAAAAGGAGCTCAGACTCACCTCCTTATGAGACACCCTTCACACACACACACACACACACACACACACACACCACAACTTTTAAAACACTGTCCAGAAAGAGAGTGGGTGTCACACACATAGGGCCAAAACTCTCAGTCCTCTGTGTATAAATGGCTCTAGAGAGATGTGAGAAACCGCTGAGTGCATAACAGTGTTCTTGGCACCTCTGCAGGGCGGATTGTGGGAAATAAATAGTTCAGAGTCCCGTGTAAATCCCTCCTCCTTAGTTCAGTCATGGAGATCCCACAAGGACATGAGGCAGTGAGCATATGCAGACTGCTTCCAGGGCTGGAAGTGATTCTCAGAGCTTCTCTTCTCCCCAAAGCTGACATGATTGCCTTCAGTTTCCCCAGCTTGATCTCAGCCATCCTGCAAGACAAACCAGAGCCTGTTGCATAGTTGGGTCTCACTGAACAAAAGCAGAGTGTACCTAGAATGTTATTTTCCAGATGACTGTTAGGGAAGACCTCCAATGACCAGTGCATCGTAGTTTACACATCTAGGAAGGAATTATAAGATCTTAGAGCCTGCCAGGTAGGACCTGGGCCTGTAGTCCCTGCTACTTGAGAATCTGAGGAGGGTCCCTTGAGCCCAAGAGTTGGAGGCTAGCCCCAAGCAACATAGTGTGTCCCTAGATCACAAAAAATAAAAACAAAAACAAGACACAAAAAAGAGCAGGTATCAGAAAGATGGGTCAGTGTTTCGAACTGCTTGCTGCACTTCCCTCCCCCCCCCCAAGGTAAGGCTTTTGGAAGATTCATTAAAATAAATTACTTTGCCTGTTCACCATCTATTACCCTTTTTTCAATTACCTGTTAACATTCTAAAAACTTTCAGGTATGTAAAATACATTTAACTTTGCCAATAATTTTAGGTAGTACTGAATTCTTCCCAAAATGACTACCATAAAACTATGTTTTGAAACATTAAAACTAAAAGAATCCAAATGGGACATAATAGGACTAGAGCTAACTAGCTTCTAGCCTAGCAGAGGAAATATGACTTCCAGATTCAGAGAGAGACCTCTGAATAGAAAAGAGAGAGACAATGATAGAGGAGACCATCCAACACCAGTTTCTGACCTCAGTGCATGCACCCAGGCACACGAACGCAGGAGCATGTATTCATACACACATAATACATATATGAGCATACTCAGATACAGACAAATAAATCATAAAAAACAGAGTGTCCACACATGACATGAAAGTCTTACTCTCAGAACTCACAACAAACAGGTGTCCCATAGGGCTCTATACTAAACAATAGTCCCTCTTCCAAAATACTCCTTGTTCAAATGTTTTCATCTCAGAAACACGTGCTATAACATATATAAGAGCATTAAGAGAATTTAGATGCACACATATGCATATGTCTGACTATACATATGTGTGAATTTGATTCCCCAGTAAGTGTGTTAATTTAGAGACTAGGAGTATTTGGTGTCCCCAAATCTGTTCTTTTGTTTTGTTTTTTCTTTTTGGTTTTTCAAGACAGGGTTTCTCTGTATTGCTTTGGAGCCTGTCCTGGAACTAGCTCGGTAGACCAGGCTGGCCTAGAACTCACAGAGATCCACCTGCCTCTGCCTTTGAGTGCTAAGCCAAATCTGTTTTCTTAACACACCATGGACTGTTGACTATTATATTATTTCCATCTTGAACCAATTTATAATTTCAGCATATTCTAACATTTCATATCCATGCCAGTTACTTCGGGCAACCTGAGTGTGACTCTTGGGTGACAGAGCCCACATTATAGAACCTTGCAGCCTTCACAGCTTGGATTCCCACCCCTCATTTTTCTGGGTTACAGTCAAGAGTCTTGTGAGAATCTCATTTTCTATTTACAAGTCTTCCTCGAGTGCGAGCCCTGACTCTGACTTGGGAAACAAAGCTAACCTGTAGTGTACTGGTATTTGAATATACACATCACTGTGATACAGACATGACCTCTTTACATTTCAGAATTCTACTTTAGTTTTTGGCATGCTGAAACAGATCCAAGGAGCAAGAAATCATTGTTCTGGTGTCATATAACTACCAGTAGCTCTAAGAGAAGTACATCTTGATTTTCAATCACAGGGGTTTTGAAGTCATGAGGCTATTTTGCAGAGCATATGATGCCCACGTCAGCACCCTCAGCATCTTCCTTTTGGATGCTAGTTGTAGTTTCCCAGCACTAACCTCACCGTCCTGTTTGGCTTCATCTTGCCCTTCATCCTGGTCAGGTTCAAATGCAGTGCCTTGGTCTACAACATCCACACCACCTTGTACCGTGGGCTTCTCATTTTCCCACTTGGCAAAGCCTTTGTCCTTAGCTGCTTTGTCATGGAACTTGGATTTCATTTTGGGGAACGTATGGGATCCCGAGTCTCCCCAGCCAGCCTCTGACCACACAGGTTCTGTCTGTGTAGCTTGACTAGTGGTGGCTCGCTGTAGCCTCACGGAGATTTTACGAGAAGAGCCTGTAACCAGTGTGATGGCTCTGCTGTCCAGGTCCCGGTGCCCAGCAGTGACCCCAGGAAACTCAAACACCTCATCCTGCACTAGAGGGGAAAGGAGAGGGATGATTATTTGTTGTCAGTCTGTTCAGTAGCAACCCATCAATGTCAGTTCAAAAGCCAGGAATCTGATAAGCAAGGACCCAAAGGATCTTACTAGGGCTAGAATTAAATTTGCAGCAGGTGAGTGTGTGAATGAGCTCACTGGTAAATATTGGATCGCCGGCCGCTGATGTAATAAATCAGATCAGGGCGAATTAATAAATCCAGGTTTAATTTGAGCAAAGCATTCCGGGTGACCCCAGGGGAAGGGGAGAAAACCAAGACGGAAAACCATTTAAATGCCCTCAGGGGTGTAATCCCAGACGGCAGGCTTTTTCAAGGGATGGGAGGAGTGGGGATGGGTGGAGCTTCCCAATAGACAGGTGGAGAGACCCTGGCAGTAAGAACACAGAGGGAGGGTTACCTGGGGGCAAGGCGGGGCTTCCAGGCAGTGACCCAGGATTGCTGCCCAATGAAGGTGCGCGGGCAAGTCTCCTGCAGGCCAGAACCAGAAGGTCTTTGCACTGTTTATGACAGTTGGCTCCACAGTCTGAAAAGACCACAAAGGTGCCACAGATAAGTGTGACGCATGCATGTCTGACCCAACTTCTAGACTGGCACAAGTGCTGCTAACCCCTCCCCACCCCCATCTGAATTTCAGGGATGACTGGGAAGTTCAGGGCCTTCTTCCAGCACACATTAACTCTTCAGCTTCCATTGTCTCAAGAGATCTAAGTGCTCAATCAGGACAAGAGCATCCTACCCCAAACTTTCACGACTTAACAAGTATTACCTTTGCATTTGTAGCCTTGTTTGATTATGCCCCAGAGCTGAAACAGAAGACAAAGGAATGTCAGGTCATGGCAAGAAAAGCCTAGAAAGAAAACAAAGCCACACAGGCGGAAGTCCTGGGAAGTTTGATGACTGGCAGCTCACAAACAGGATGTAGCTTCTCTGACACCCTTCCTGTAGGAGAGTAGCCTTCTCCCAGCCCTCCAGCTGTGGTGACAGCTTCCCTTTTCTTTCCCAGTGCCAAATGATAGTAGGCATGGGAAATTAAAGTTTGTAAGTCTGTATGTAGTTTTAGATGCTGGTGACATACTGGTGGCCAAAACTGACCAGAGGGTCTTCCTGTCTTTCTTCTTAATGCTCCTGTCTGCTTTTGGCGCTCTCTATAGGAAAAGAAGCCGTTGAAGCATGCACTTACTAACTTGGATTTTGCCAAGTAGAGAAGGGGCAAATGATCTTACTATGCACTGTGTCTGCAGCAGAGTTGAAAGAAATGTCAAAAAGGCTCTGACTCTGCCAATCAAGGACGCGGTGACTTCCTGAAGTTAGCTAGTAGGAAGTGATTGCTAAGTAAAAGTTAGAGGTGGGCATTATGAAGGACTTAGCTGCTGCACAAGACCCCAACACCCTGGAATGAAAATTAGAATGCAATCAGCCATGTTAATGCTGCCCACCACAATGCTGAAACTAAGCATTTTATCAGACCTTCCCAGGAACCAGGAGAAGTAACAGCCAAATTCTTCCTAAACAGCCAGTTTCAATTTGTTACCTACACCTAAATTCTTAAAAAAGAAGGTAAAGGAAACTCATGCTATCAGTTCTTTCTCTTTTTTGTTTAGACAGGCTCTCAGTAAGTAGCCCAGGCTGGTCTTGAACTCTCAATCCTCCTGCTTCAGCTTCACAAGCATTGAGATTACCAGCATGTGTCTTCATACCTGGCTTATTTTTCTATTGTCTCCACCACCTCCCTCCACTCCCCCATCCATGCAGAGAGAGGAACCAATCCACTATTGTTTCAGCTTCTCCCTGGCTATAAAATCAATTTCTGCTGCCCAAGTCATTGGAAAACTTACTCTTTTGTGGAATGGTCATGTGGCACCTGGTTTTAGAATCTAAACCTAGAATCTTTAACTGGAACTGTAATGTTGTCCTTTGACATGACAAATGCCTCAAGTTCAATGAGGAGTCTTTTTGCAAGCTGCTCAGGGCACAGTTGTGGCTGTGGTGTAGCATCCTGGCAGAAATGAACAGATTCTAAAGAGATTCATATTCCCTTCCCCCCTTCCCCACAAGCTATTGGATGAAGCAATGGTCCCTAAGGAACTGGAGCTTCCAACAATCTCATGCTCAGAGAAGGAAAGGTTGAAGTTCCAGGCCAACAAGAGGAAGGGCTTGTCTCCCTCCAAGAGCATTCTCTGACAGCTTCTCAGACACGTGTCAGGGTAGACTGGAGCTCAGACAATGAGGGGTCAAAACTGGGCCAAACCACACTTCAGCAAGGACAGTTTGGTCATGTGTAATTCTTGCTCTATTTAATCCTAAACCTAAAGTGTCAGAGCTCGGGTTTGGTGGAGTCTTGCTGTTCCTTTCTTTGTTCCTCATCTCAATGTAGCCACATTGAATCACCTATTATTTGTCTAATTGGCCTCTTGAGGTCAGGTGGCTAAGCCTAGCTTGGTTCTAGCCCTATAAACTTCAGTAACAGTGGGGGCTTTGCCCTCCTCATAGCTCTTAGCATTGTGAGGAAAGTGCCCTCACCCTGTCGTTCTTCCTACCTTCTCATAACACTTGCCCAGAGGCAGCAAGGAGACCAGCACATTCAGAATTAGGATCTGCTCAGTTTAGTGGGCTTAAACTGGGAAAACTCCCAACCTGGTTATGGGTGAACCTAGGTGCTTGTTGCTTAATTAATACAATGATGCTGAGAAGAGCCAAGCCAATGGCCTCCTGAGACGAGTAGGAACGCTATTAACAATGCATGATGCCAAACAAGCCCCCTACGTGTGGATGAGCACCTGGTCCTGATAGGAAAAGTAGTTGCCAAAGCAGAATGACATAAGAGCATGGGGGTGGCAGCCCCTTTCTCTCCTGCAGACAAGGCAATTCCACCAGGGGACCCCAGAGAGTCCTTACATCCTTCACAGTGTCCTTGAGAACACACTAAAATACAAATGACTTCTGGCAGGGCTGTAGTTTGCCTCTGTGTAGAAAAGATTTCTTTACCAAGGACCATCGGGTCAGCTAGGAGTAGAGTGCCTCAGGACATTGGATGGAGGCAGAAAGGGGAAGTGGTTGGTCGGGTTAGTTACATCTTCTCAAAAGCACAGGAAGCTTTAAAAAAAATCATCTGGCTGGGGCCTGGAGAGATGGTCCAGAAGTCAAGAGCACTGTCTACTTATCCAAAGGCACCGGGCTCAATTCCCAGCACCCACATGGCAGCTCACAACTTTTGGTGGCTCAGTTCCAGACAACCTGACACCATCACACAGACATACATGCAGGCAAATCACCAATGCCCATAAAATAAAAGTAAATTTTTTTTAAAAAAAAATCATCTACCTGACTTCTGTCATTAGGAGAGGTGAAGATAATGATCCAGGAAATAGACACCTTGCAAGTCCAAACCTGGAAATCTTGAAAAGGGATGGTGTTCTTACCCTTGCTTCTGGGTCATTTCTGTGTGAACAAAGCCACTAGGAGATTTAAGAAGGGGCAATCTTTTTTTTTTTTTTTTAATGAAATTCACATGGAGCTGGAGAGATGGCTCAGAGGTTAAGAGCACTGACTGCTCTTCCAGAGGTCCTGAGTTTGATTCCCAGCAACCAAGTGGTGGCTCACAACCATCTATAACGAGATCTGGTTCCTCTTCTGGTGTACAAGCAGAACACTGTATACATAATAAATGAATGTTTAAAAAAAAAACAAATAAATTCACAGGTAAATGAAAGGAACTAGGGGGGAAAAATCATCCTGAGTGAGGTAACCCAGATCCAGTAAGACAAATAAGGTATATATTCACTTAGATGTGGATATGAGCTGTTAATATGCTATGGTAACCAACTTACAACTTACAACAAAGTAAGGGATGAGTAGGACAGATAGCCCTCACAAATAGAATAGAATAAAGTAGATAATTATGGATGGATTGGGGGTGGTGGAAGGGGAAAATCAAGGAAGCAAAGAAGGGGAGAAGAGAGAGAATATGTATGGGGAGAGTCAGGTAAAATTAAGGCCATTTGAGTCTAATGGAAGTCTAATACATAGAAGCCTCCTAAAATATATACATATGTGAAATTGATCTGAATAAAATCTCAAAATAATGGGGGAGACACAGTTCCAACTGGACATCTGGTCACCAATAAAGCTCTCTGTACCAGGAATGAGTTGCACCTATTAAGTTGTTGGCCAAAGGGGTCCCATGGGAACCCCCAAACAACCCAGCCTGTTGCTCCCTACAAACTAATGGCAAGGTTCTATTGCTGAAGACAACATCTATGTAACTCATTGAACATAGAGAAGTTTGGTGCCTACATAGAGCCTTCACCTCTATGTGCTAGTGTCTTTGGTACATGCTTCTGCATGTTACCAAAGGAGAAATGTGAACACCAGCCCAGCTCCAAACCCTTTGATCTATAGTGGCATCCTGCCTTCTAGACATTCTAGTGCAATGGTGGCACAACGCTGATGGGAGTGACCAACCAATATCTGATTTGTCTTAAGGGCCACCCACTCCACAAGATGGAACCCAGCTTGGGTGACCAAGTACCTAAAACTAGACAGGCCAGAGACCTGGAGGAAAACCATATACTACTGTGCTGCTAAAGGAAACAACAATAAAATGACTGCTATGGACATTCTCCTGAACTCACAAATCAGTGCCTTGCTCAGCCATCATCAGAGAAGCTTCCTCCTGCAGCAGATGGGAACAAATACAGAGGCCCACAGCCAGATAATATGCAGAGAGTGAAAGGCCTTGGAACACTCAGCCCTAAATTGGATGTTTCCATCAAATCTCTTTCCTCTAGACTCAGGGAAGTCCACACAAGACGAGGCAGTAAGAGGCTAAGAGCCAGAGGAGATGGAGGACACCAGGAAATGAACAGGATCAGCACACATATGAACTCATAGAGGCTGACGAAGCATGCACTGGGCCTGCACAGGCCTTTGGGATGTATATCCTGGCTTCCACTTTAGTGCTTTTATAGGATTCCTGAGAATTCAAACAAGTGGGTGTCTGCATCTGTATCTGCTTCTTGTACCTTTTCTTGGGCTCTTTTTCTTCTGTTTATTTGTTTTGTCCTATTCCATTGTGTTAGTTTTTGTTAATTTTATTTTTTATAACTGAGAAGCCTGTTTTGTTGTTGTTGTTGTTTTTTTTTTTTGTTCTAATGAGAGATATAAAGAGGTAGATGGGAGGCTACATGGGGAGGAAATGGGAGGGGTAGAGGAAGGGGAAACAATCCGTATATATTATGTGAGAAAATCAAATCTATTTTCAATAAAAAGGGGAAAGAAGAAGGAAAAGAGGAGGAGGAATCCTTTCCTGATTGGTGGTGCTTGTGTCTAATCCCAGCATCCAGAAGACTAAGAAAGAAGGGTCCCAAGTTTAAGGCCATCCTGGACTACTGAATGAGACCCCATCCCACCCCTGACACGGCACCCTAATATGGAAATACAGTACACTATTAGCATTATTGCAGAGCTGCTGAAAAGAGATACAATCAAGCAACAGTCTTTTCAGGACATGGTTTGCTGAGCTCACTGAGAAGCCAGAAGGAAACTCTGCCAGGAAAAGACACTGGGTCAGTGTGCCAGCCAAGGACAGCCAAAGGCAGCCCAGCCTCACTTAGGTGAGGCTCTGGAGCATTTCCCAGGATCCTTTAATCTGAGAACACAGGCTTGTACAATACTTGAAAATCTTTATAATATAAAGAACATTGGATTGAGAGGTAAGAGAGCTGGCTGGGATTCATGCCCCAATTGCCAATGACTTGTGTGACCTTGGGGAACTAACTCTCTTCACTTCTTCAGCTTCTTTTATAAAATACAGGAAATACCAACATACTTTCAGTTTTGGTGCCCTGATTCTTGACTACATGTACTGCCTTCCTTACCCTTAAAATAGAATTTATTTCAAAAGCAGATGGCCCAAGCACTGAAAAGTGGTTCCTGGCATTCTCATATTTCCTTTCAATGATGTATCTTCAGAATTGCATTTATAAATCCCTTGAAGATCAATGGCTCCTTGGGTATTATGTGAGCAAAGATCAAGTCAAGCTGTACTAATGGCATTAAGTATATTTTGAAAAATAAAAGTGACTGTAAAAATTGAAAGAGTTCATTTCAAGCAACCTCGAAAAGTACCAAGAGAATACTTTCAAAAAATTTTGTGCTGTTTCCTCTTTTTTCTTACTGCCTTGTTATTTTCAGACTGGTAATATGTCTGGTATTATTTTTTCTCCAGTGTATTGACTATTTTGGTTTGCTTGTTTGTTTGTTGGGGTTTGGTTTGGTTTCGTTTGGTTTTATGAGACAGGCCTTGAACTCACAGAGATCCACCAGCTTCTGCCTCCCAGGTGCTGGGATTAAAGGCTTTCTCCACCATCACCCAGCATATTGACTGTCTTTTACAAATAGGACAACAGACATATATCAATACGGCATTAACTTAGGTCCACAACATGGAGGTAGAGGAGGAAAAGCTGAGGTTCAAAGCCAAGGTTCCAGACTCCAGTCCAGAGTTTTGTACTTCACATGACATGCAGCAGAGCCTAGCATCGGTAAGTGTACTCAGATGAGTCGGCAGAAGATGTGGGTCCCAAGATAGACCACCTTCCTTCTATGACACAGGCATCCCTGGGTAGGAAGGAGGCAGCAACAGCGAACACTGAGACTGAATAAGCACCTCAAATCCCTCATACACCACCAGAGGCCACCTAATCTTGCTTTTCAGTCGTGCCTTGGTGAGTCCACTCAGTCTGACCTTTTCATTAGAAAACTCAAACCTTGAAGGGCAATGGTACTTGTGGTCTCAGTCCACTTGCACTTTCAGGCTTATCTACTTCCCCAAATTCCCATGAGAACAGAGAAATAAGAGACACATGAAAAAGGAAATGCATTTGTACACCCCCGTGGAGATGTTAACAGAAAAGGGACTTCTCTGTCCCTGGGATTCATGAGGCAAGCTGGCTAGGGTGGTCTGCAGACTGCTGTCAGTACCTGGAACTGTCTGGAAAGTAGAGGCTGCCTCTTACATACCTATGCTCAGAGAGATGTGTGCCCTTGGTCTCACAGAGCCAGTCCTTCAAGCATGGGATGGGAAAAGTGATTGACAGGCAGCCCAGATGCAGTCAGCACTGGGATATGATGCTAAATAAAATCAACAGTTAAGCTCTGGGTTATCATACCTAGGTGTTGGGCCACCCTCACTTCTAATTTTTCATTTTTTTTTACTTAAGTACCAATTAGAAGGTAATCAGAGCCCAAGAATCTGTTAGGAGAGAGCCAAATACTGGCCCCACTCCCCAGTGTCAGGGTAGGTTTGCAACAGAGGTTTCTCCACCTTCCTAATGTTATGACCCTTAATCTAGTAACTCCCAACCATAAAATTGTTTTTGTTACTACTTCATAACTGTACTTTTATTGATGTTGTAAATCATATTGTAGATATCTGATATTCAAGACAGCTGATATTCAATCCCTGTGAGGTCATTTGACCTCCAAGGGGGTCACGACCCCCCCCCCAGGTTGAGAACTGCTGGTATACAATCTTCATGTGTTGCAGTGGTAAAGGCAGAGCACAGGGCTCACACTTAGAGCATCCCAGGTTTGAGTTCATGCTCTTTTGAGGACTTGGGTTAGCCATCCTACACCTCTCCATCTTCATAGGCCAAATACAGAAAAAAATGCCTGCCTAATAGGCATGCTGCAGGGATTCCTTATACCACTGTCCAGGGACTCTGTTAGTGTCAAGCATTAAATAAATGTTACTTATTCTCATGACTGCCTTATCCCCAATGGATTTTTCCCCCTCTTTGAGTTGGGAAATATTGAGCCATGCCATGATAGATGTAGTGACTAGTATGTTAAATGAGTACTAGAAGGAGCTGGCTAAGATAAATGCTCCTCTTTATAGCAATCATTAGCAAGCATGGTTATGAATGCCAGAGCCCTCTAGGCTTACATTTCCCCTGGCAGATGTTAGTAGTAGAAACTCTGTCTCGAGTTAACGGAGCTCAGTCACCTTCCCTGTCTTAGTTTGGGGGTACTCACAGAGCGTAGCAATACTTACAGATCTCAGTTTTGCTTTTATTACATCTTTACTTTCAGGGAGTCACAACACACTTTATTTCTGACGCAAAGAAGAAAATGGATTCTATTGAATAAATTGTGTCCCTACCTTTTCAAGGTGCTGCAAAATGAAAACTGAAAATCCCACTTACAAAGCCTGCACAGTGTTCACAGAAGGTCGGCTTGAGATAGTTCATCTCCTGAAAATTATGGATAAATCCTGGTCCCATTTTGCAATGTAGCTGGGATTTAGCTCTCAGGAAATAAGCCATCATTTCATCCTTGCTAATTAGGCCATCCCTGTTAGGAAAATCAAAGAAGGGAAGAATCTCTGAATACTACATCACTAAGAAGTTGTCACACTCTAGTACTCACCTTCCAAGCATTTGTGACCCAAAGCAAATGAGAAATGTTCACTTTTCTTAAACATCCAAGAGGAGGGTGAGTCTCAAAAAACATATCAAGTATTCACAGCCGTCTCCAATAAGCAGATGCTGTGTGTGTGTGTGTGTGTGTGTGTGTGTGTGTGTGTGTCTGTCTGTCTGAATATGTCTGTATGTGTGCTATGTATGTGTGTACACAGAGCCTGTGTACTCTGGTTTAGAGAGTTATCTTTATTACTAAATAGAAGCTTCCAGAAGGACAGCCTAGCAATAAGGTTGAAATTGCTGCTGTCCTTCTCAACTTCATGCAGGTTGCTCCACCACTGACCTTTGCATCTGTGTCCTCCAGACCCACAGCTTATCTAGATTAACCCTCCAGATCTCTACACAGAATGAATCCTCTTCTACTCACTTTCCTCTTCTGCTTATCACACATGTTGCTTATCACTTGTCTATCAGTGTGGACCAAGCACATGTGACACAGGCCAGTACAGACATCTCACCTTTTCTGCCCTGTTCAGGGTTCCCTTGTCCTTCCTGCCTTGGGTCTTCCTAAGACATCAGAAGGGCTGCTTCCATCCCTGCTCTCCAGCCTCCACATATCTCTGCTCTCTCCCAGCCTCTGCTCAACCTTCTCACCTATTTCTTGGGTTTACAGAGATGCCCTTCTCCTCCAATCTCCTTCCACACTCCCGCTGTCTTTCTCTCTTACCAACTCCCAATGTTGTCAAAAAACATCACTCTTTAGCATTTTCTGCCATCATTTTATACCACTCAGTCAAGTTTCTGCCACTGCCATCCTACTGAAAATGTCACTGAGGACAGTTCTCAGTGGCTTCCTCTCATTCTTTGAAATCGCTGATCTCATAGTAGTGTGTGACACGGGGGCATATTTATTTATTGACACCTTCTTCTCTATGGAGCTTGGAATTTTGTGCTGTTCTGCTTTACTCTTTCCACTCCTGCTCCCCTGTCTCTATCTCTTCCACAGAAACCTCAAGTGGAAAGGGAAGTCCCGTGGGCTCATTTCCCAAGCCCTGATCTCATTTCCCTAACTTTCTCACTGGAAAGTAATACTGCATCGAGCTCTGTCTGACTGAAAACTCAATGTGCACCTCCAGCCCTGACTGAACTCACACATTTCATACTATATCTTCAATAATTTGCTAGTCATCTCTCCCTGTACATGCCCCCCAAAATCAACATAGACATGCCAAAGTTCCCTATCTTTCTTTTCAATAAGCATGACCATAGGTTCCCCTGTTGCAATTAATGATGCCATAATTGCACCCTGGACTTAAGATCCTTTTTTTTTATCTCATATACAAAATAAATTGAATCATACTTAGAATTTATAAAATTTAGTTATCTAGTATCTTTCCCACCCTTTAAAAACATGATCCTACAATTTCTGCAGACATAGCCATCAATCTCAGACACAAAGTGTAATTTAAGTACATTCATTGAGAAAGATATACACACACATAAATATCTGTGTGTATCTACCTATACATACATATATATACATATATATATGAGACATATATACACATATATGTATACACAGATATAGAATCAATGAATCATACATGCTCCAGGGATCCACTTACTATACTATAAGGGGACTATAAGCTCAACAACCAGGCACCAACCTGGCTCATGTCCTTACATGGCTCAACAGAGAAAGGAGGAGCTTGCTGCCTAGCATACACCCCACCTTACATCATATAGATCTCCTGATAAAAAGTTTCTTCCAGCACAGGAGTTACCAACCTCCAACAGATGTGATATAAAGTACTCAAAGATCAAGGAGCTGAAGAAACTCCTGGGCCTGTCTAACATGTCTTCTCTCATATGTTAAGAATTCCAGGAACCAAGAGATGTATGTAGAACCACAAAATAGAGGGAACTTACTCTGTGAGTTACTAGAAAGAGGGATGTTGGCCAGTCATTAGAACACTGGACATAAAGGTGGGGGAATTCTGCACAGCAGTTCTTCACTCTGAGCTTTTTCCTCAGCCCTCTTTTAGTAATTTTCATTTTGAGACATGGTCTCACTGATCAAATTGTCCAGGCTGATGTTAAATTCTTTCTCTGCAGCCCAAGCAGGCCTCAAGCCTGGCAAGTAGCCTGGACTACAGACATCTCCCATCAGGTTTGTCATTCCTACTTGTCTTGATGGGGTTTTCAGAGTTGGTAGTGAAGCTGTAGATGTATTGAAGGAAACTAACATCTGGTTCCTTTGCAAATGGGCACTTGTGTTTAACAGAGATGCACTCTACCTTGTGACAGTACCCAACTGTTCATATTTAGGGACAACAAGAGAAACGACGAGTGTAAAGTCAGACGGCTATCAGAACAATAGAGCATGGCTTGGCAGGATGCAGAATGCAGGTTTAGATGTTCCCATCCCTAGGTTATCTTCTGCTTTAACCTACAGCCATTGGAAATGACAGAATGGAACTTACTGATCTTTGTCTAGCACACAGAAGGAATCCAGGAAGGGGAAATTGGCAGCTATGCTCTCAAAGTCCTCTTGAGAGATGTATCCATCATGGTCATGATCATAGTTTCGAAACACAGACTGCAAAGGATAGACAAGTATTTACCATGAGCATGTATAAGTTAGCCACTGAACTTGAAATAATAAGTGGATTGTCCATTCAATCAAAGAGCCTGGAATCTGGTGGGGGAGCTATAGACTCAAAGCTTATTTAACACTATGGTTTGTAGAGGGCTTGGAGGTTGGGATACAGATAAAGAAAGATTACCTGGAGAAAGAAAAGTCTAAACTGAGATCTCAGAGTTGAGTAGGTATTAAGTTGGTGAGTTTATTGATTATAATTCCATAAAAATAGAAAATGGAACTTTAGAAATTTAAAATATCTCAGTGTGTCTATTCAGCTGGGTGGTGGTGGCACATGCCTTTAATCCCAGTACTTGGGAGGCAGAGGCTGGCAGATCTCTATGAGTTCCAGGCCAGCCTGGTCTACAGAGAAAGTGCCAGGACAGGCTCCAAAGCTACACAGAGAAACAATGTTTCAAAACAAACAAACAATCAAAAAGTATGGGTATTCAATGACAAATATTAGGTACTTCAAAATAGTTCACTTTAAGCTGTTTTGCTAATGATTAAGTATTGAGATGATGAAAACATAGTACACACACAATGGAAAAATTTTTATTCAGCTGTTAAAAAAAGAAATTTTCCAAAAAACAATGGGTGTGGAAAACATTATATTAAATGAGGTGACCTAGATAAAAAAAAAAAAAAAAGGCCACGCCCACACATTCTGTCTCATATGCAGATTTTAGGTTTGAATGTTTCTATGTAGTTTCTAGGTCTGTGTGGGTCTAAGCTGTGAAAATAGAAGGAAAAGCATGAGAGGGAAATGGGGTGTGTTGGGAGAACAACAGGAATATATATGAGACAAAAAGCAGTACGTGGTTACTGGGAGTAGGAGGGTACAAACAGAGACAGGGACTGAGGGACAGGGGTGGAGGAAGTCAGGAGAACAAACAAAAATAAAACTTGTTTGTCAATGCCATAATGAAATCTAATAAGTTATATGCTAATCTTAAAAGATGCTAGAAAATGAGAGAGAAAGGGATGTTAAGGGAGGGAGGAAAGAAAGAAGGAAGATCTTTACTTTTTATTTTCTGTAATCAGAGCATCCTGATGCACAATGCCCTCCTTGGGTCCTTTTGGCCCCCAAACTCTGCTCTTCTTTGCCCAGAACTACATGGTCTTCTCAGGCCCTTCCCTCACCAAAAGTCCCTTCTATACACCTTTGTGGTTGTCACTGGCTTGCTTGGGATTTCTGTTTCTTTATTTGCTTGCTTAAGATTCATTTTGTTTTTAAATTGTATGCATGCCTGTGTGTCTGTGTTCACGCACGTGCCCATGAAAGCCACAGTGGTGTTGCCTCCCCTAGCTAGAGTTGCACTTGGTTGTTAGCCACTGATGTGGGGGCTAGGAAACAAACCTGTGCCCTGTGGAAGAGCAGTGAGTCCTTTTAACCACGAGCAATCTTTCCAGCACTCAGCTTACTTGTTCTGCAGATGGGGTCCTATTGTGTAGCCTTTAATTCATCTGCTTCAGCCTCTCCTATGCCTCCCACACTATGCCTTTTAACTGTTTCTTTCTGCCTCACACACAACATAAAACTTCTCTCAACAATTACAAAATCCCTGGGTTTTCCAACATGAAGAACATCCCTTTCCAGGAAAGAGCACTATCTATTTCATAGATAGTCTGTCTCAGAGATTCAACTTTATTGTAGAAAATGAAAGCAGGGGCTTAATAAATATATTTGTGCTTCTACTATTCTCTCTCTCTCTCTCACTCTCTCTCTCTTTGTCTCTCTGTCTCTCTCTGTCTCTCTCTCCCCTCCCTTTGAGACAGGGTCTCACTGTATTCCAGGCTATCCTCAAGCTTACCCATCCTCCTGCCTCAGCCTCCCAAGTGCTAGAATTACATAGGTGCACCACCACACCCAAATCTGTTTTGCTTTCTACAGGGAGAAGCTGAAAAAGCCTTGACTTCAACTGAGTGATTTTTTTTTTCTGACCTCGGAGGCATCATGTGACTATGTCATCCTATACAGCAGGTGAAACAATCCAGTTTACAGGATATTTCCCTGTTCTGAAGTAACAAACTCATCTGGAGTTTGTTTTCCATGGATAATTCTAATCCATAAAGTCCTTCAAGCTGGTGGCAGTGACAGGGGTGGCATGTGCCCAAGGAGGGAGCTAGAGGGAGCTGAGAACACTTGGGTGAATAAGAAAACATAGACAAGAGACTGAGCCTGGCGATGATGGTGCACACCTTTAATCTCAGCACTCAGGAGGCAGAGACAGAAGGATCTCTGTGAGTTCGAGTCTAGCCTGGACTACAGATTGAGTTTGAGGACAACCAAAGCTACATAGAGAAACTCTGTCTGGAAAAACAAAACAAAAACAAACAAACTAACAAAAAAAGACAAGAGACAGAAAGGTTCTTTCTGATAGTCTCCTCTTGGGGCCAATGTAGGCAGCATGAGTGTCAGCTGGGGAATTTGTTCCTCAATCAAACTCAAGTGTTGCTACTTGCCCAAGAGCTATTTTCATGGTCATCTGATTTCTGGACACTCACAGAATATTCACGAAATAGAAGGAGGCTTTCTAGAACTCTCTGCTTACTCTTCTTCACTTACCTCAACCAACTTCCTTATGTGTTTATTGATGATTGTGGGGTCTGGCTTTGGTATCACTCCTGAAGCCCACTCCAGGGGCACTACAGCCTTGTTGGGTGTTGTAGGGGAGGTAGGCTGCTAAAAGAACACACAGACATTTTTCAACATTAACTGGATCTTGATCCACCAAGAGAGAAAGTTTATATATGAATAGCAGTAAAAACTTAAGTTTATATAGCGCTCAAGTGTTTATTTGTTTGAAACAGTATCTCACTATGTCATCCCAGTAGAACTGAGATAACATAGAATAGGCTGGTCTCAAATTTGTATAGATCCTCTTGCCTCTGTCTCCTGAGGTCACCACACCCAGGTTCACAAGTTTATAAACCAGCATCTTTTGTTGATAGAATCTAACCTGTAACTCAAAACATGCTTTGCCTTGGAACTTACCATTCCATTGTCTTAGCCTCTAAGTGTGAGTCTTCAAGCTGTGTACTAGCACACATGGTTAAAATAATGTTTTGATAATGTACTTTGTTTAAAATAAGTGTTTAAATAAGTGTTTAAAAACTGCACTCCTGGACCACCTAAACAGCCCATCTAGGTTCTTTAATTACAGATTATCATCAGATGATTCCAAAAGGTTCACATGATAAGACACCACAGACTTTCACATATGCATGTATGTATATATGTACACACACACACACACACACACACATAATTACAGTTATTAAGTCAACCACAGTGGCATATACCTGTAATTCCAGCACTTGGGAGACTGAGGTAGAAGATCAGGAGTTCGAGACCAGCCCATGTTTTATAGCAAGACCCTGTCTCAAAAACAAAAGGAATCTAATTTTATGTTTTTTTCAAATAGTTTGTATTTGTGATAAATTTGCATGGAACGCACACAACAACTAGTAACTAACACAAGGCAAGTTCTTTTCCTTTCACCCACACTTTTTCTAAGGTGTTAATTGCTTCCAGCTGTTGTGTGAATGCCTAGGCCTCTCTGTCCTCTCCACAGGCTTTTCCAATAGTTTTTTTTCTTTCTTTCTTCCTTCCTTCCTTTCTTTCTTTCTTTCTTTTCTTTTCTTCTTCTTTTTTTTTTTGTCTTTCAAGACATTTTCTCTTAGTCACATGGGGAATGTGGTGGCAATAATGCATTAATTAACTCAAGCAGGACACACAACCCAACTGGAAGCCTAGCAAAGGCTGCTATGTAGTTTGTTTACTGCTCTCTGTGGATCCGTACACAGTGGTAATGTTTTCACTGCTATACACAGGCAAACCTGTTCAAGGAGGCTCTTTATTTGATATGACCTAGGGATAAATTTTTTTTACAAGAGAATCTGAGGAGGAACCATTACTCATTTAAATCCTGAACAATATTGAGGTGGGTGCTATTGGCAGGCAACTAGCAAGATCAACAACTTTATACAATTTAGATAGGTCCATGCTCACACTCATATTTTTGCATCCATTTCTTCATGCACCATGGCTCTATGTGTATGAATGTATGTGCATGTACGTGCACAAGTGTGTGTTGCATGTGTGTGTGGACTCTAAAGGTCAACCTCAGGTGTCTTCTTCAATCATTCTTAGATAATTTTTGAGGCAGATTAAATTTCTTAAACTACATTTATGGGGCATGAGGGTGTTTTGGTGTTTCTGATATATATATATTATTTGTGTGTATGAGTGTTTGGGCCTGCATGAATGAATGTCCCCCATGTATGGAGATCAAAAGAAGGCATTAAAACCCTAAGAACTTGGTTGTGAACCACCATGTGGGTGCTAGAACCAAACATGGTCTTCTGCAATAGCAGCAAGTATTCTTAATCACTAAGCCACCTCTCCAACCCCTTTATTTATTTATTTTCACAAAGCATGGGAGGGTATAAGGGATCTGGACAGAAACCCTACCTAACACAGGGTCTTAAATTCTAAGATGACTGACGCTTTTTTTCTTTTAGCCCTTTGTGTAGGTGAGTTCTTAGAGCAGGGATACTAAAGATAAAAGGTCAATAATAAAACAGCATATGGATAATATTCTTCCTCCCCTTTAGCATTCAATGTGAAGAAATACTCCTGAAACCTCTGGGAATAAGATGGTCCACTGGTCAAATAATACAAACCTTCAAAGTTCTTCAGTCCTAAGAACAGAAAACACCACCGAAATGGCCAATGACAATAAATGACAAACAGTGGTGGTTAGAGCCCTAAAAAGAAAACAATACCTACCGATTTGGGATTTCTAGGCTCCAGCACCAGTGACAATTTGTAAATATCATCTTCAGTGTGGTAGAGGTCCAGAGAGAGCTATGACAAAATCAAATGGCACAGGTGATTATATTGGACCACATTTTTTTATTACATTACCAAAATACTTTCAAATTGAAGGCTGTAAGATGAATGAAAAGGAGTAAAAAGCTATAGAGCCATGCAGATGTGAGAAACAAAAATTTAAAAAGAGAAAGTTAATTCTGGCGTTGTCATCAGCATCAGGGAAAGCACAATGGACTCCATTTCCTTGTAGTATTGGTTGGACAGTGCTTACATGTTCAGTCCTGAGGCAAAGATGAGGGAGTCTAGATTTTTATAGGCTGGAAGCTGGAAAGATGCATAGCACAAGACCTGATCAAAGAAAAAAACATGTAAATAAAGAATAAATTAGCCCAGATCTTATTGCTTTTATAGCACTGTACAGTGTCCCAGAAAAAAACAAAGGTGACTCTTTGCCCTTAAGCGTCTGGCAGTTAATTTGAACAAACAGAATTTGAATAAACAACAAAACTGAGTTCCCATAGATCAAAGGGGCTACCTTTCAAACCCAGGACCAAGTTATCTGTGTGTCCATACATGGATTCTGTATTTGTAAAAGGTGAATAACTCCTACAAGTCTCCAACAAAGTAGATTTTGATGAGGATCAAATGAAAGAATACATTCAAAGCACTTCCCAAGAACTTGTCTTACGGGACTGTCTTAGGAAGTGCTATCTGACATTGTTATTATTAATGTATGTGTGTGTTCGTTCATATTATTATTGTACACAGGGACCCCTGGAGACTGAAATGATCAGGAAAGATTCACGAGGTAACTATGAACTGGAGAGGATTAGAGGAAGAGAAGGCCAGCACAGGCAAGGCTACCAGCTTACACCAAGGTTAAAGAGTGTATACAATGTGTAAACACTTTAACGTGTGTATTCCCACTCACCTAAAGCAAGTCTTGAGGTTTATAGTAAACCAGAAAATTCTTACCCATGACCTTCAATGCCAGGTGACTCACATTGCTTCATCAACAATGGTAAGAGTCAGAGCTACTGGCCTTTAGGCATGACAAACATCCTCTAAGATTTTTTTTTTAAGGATGAATCTTCATTGATTTTGAGAATGGAGAAAAGAAGAAGAGAAAGAAAAGGAGATGAAAAGAGAACTAGAGACAAACTATGGTTTTCTAGGATAATTTTTGTTCAAACTCCTTTAAAAACGAAGTTAACATCATAAAATCTCAAAGCATTCATTCATTTGGCAAATATTTTGTTAATCATATAACACATGCCAGAGATCTGTCACATTACTGTCATAGCAGCCACTACCTATATCATTTAAATTGAAGACTTCATTACCTGAAGTTCTTTCCTAAGAATAAAATTGACCTTGCTATAAAATGGTCCCCAAATTTTTGTCAAGTCTTTAAAATCCTGCTTGCTAATAATGAACATTGTATTTACTTTTCTCTAAATGGTAGTCACACCTATTCATACATGCCTGAGACAAATGCCTCTAGGAGGCAGCCAAAAGGATGGAGTAGGATGCACAAAAAGGACATATGATGTGCACATTGGTACCTGTGATGGTTAATATTATCCATTCTTCTGAATCTAGTCTCACCAAAGAGAGAAATCTCTGGGCAAAACTGTGGGGTATTATCTTGCCTAGTTTACTTGTATGGAAAGACCTTAAATTTGGGTGGCACCATTTGCTAAGCTAGATCCTGAGCTTTATAAAGACAAGACAAAGCTACCTATACCAATGTATCATTCTTTGTATCCTGACAGAAACACACTGGGACTAGCTACTTCAAGCTTGTGCCACCATGGTTTTCTTGATATAATAGATTGGTGCCTTGAACTGTGAGACAAAATAAATGTTTTTCTCTTTTAAGTTGCTTTTGTTCATAATGTTTTTGAAGATGGAGATCTCACTATATAACCCTGGCTGACCTGGAACTCTCAGTATAGAGCAGGGTGACCTCAAACTCTGAATTTGCTTCTCTTTCTGCTTCCTGAGTGTTGGGGTTAAAGGCATCGTCAGATATTTTGGTGCAGCAACAAGGTAATTGCTGATACAGTACCACAATGACTTATTTTGGGGGAAAAGGGTCCTTGTGGATGCTATTAAGTTTTCAATCTTTTCTCTACACTGAACAGTTTGTTATGGCAAATGGAGCAGAACACCATCTCTCTGCTAAGGAAGCAATAGGAGGGGGCATGGTTTTTTAAAATTTGGAAGCTGCTTTTGGTGTGGAATAGTCTTTTTGTATACTGTGAATATTTGTCACTGTGATTGGTTTAATAAAGAAACTGACTGGCCAATAACTGAACAAGATAAAGTTAGGAGAAGAAGGGTGGAGTCAGGGGAGACACCAGAAGACAGGTAGAAAGTGAGGGTAAATAAGAAATATGGGTTAATTTACAATGTAAGAGTTAGCTAGTTTGAGTTATTGGCCAAGCATTTATAAGAAATCTTAAATCTCCATGTTGGTTACTTGGGAGCAGGTAGTTGGGACAAGGAACTTATGCCAACAGCTATTATTCAGGTACAATAATAAATATTTGTCTGTTTGACATTTGATATCAAGTTGCCAGTTCTGGATTGGAGAAGTCAGCAATTTGGAGTTTAGTATGAATTAGGACAATATTGAAACACTAGTCACCAGCAACAAACAACTTTCATATTACTATATAAATAAAACACACCCACCATGGAAGTTGCCTACCACTTGGTTAAATCCCCAACTTCATATTCTGCTGGGCTCCATGCCTTGTGAAAGTGGGCAGTACATCTGGCCTTTTGCCTCAGTTGTAGTTTGAGGCCTTGCATGGAGGATTTTCCATAAATAAAGAGAGAAATCCAAGAGCAGTCTTTTTTTCCAAACTCCTTGTTATCAGGAGTTAGCCCTGGCTTGAATGACAAGCATAGTTTCCTTCCTCCTGACTTGCCTCCAAATCCTGTAATGTTCAAATCCCATAATGAAGGGCACCAGCATGGTCGAAGGAGGTAACCAAACCGCAGCTCCAAGAAATTCAACCAGAAATGCCCACAAGACACCACTAAGTTCACAAGATGCTCTTGCAAGTACCCTTGGTAGGTATTTTCCCATGACAGATGGGCATATAACTGATCCAGAGAAGGGCACAATTTGATCATCTCCAAATGTCTTCCTTCTACTTATCAACACTGCGATCCTGAGCAAGTAATTAAACTTCTTGATTTTTTTTTTTTCTCAATGAGCACAGCTTCCAGCCAGGACCTTGGTGAAGATTTCAATGTGTATCCATCCCACCGGTTTTGCTTAGAAGGTCACAGATGCAGACTTGGCATCTAGGCAATGAAGTAGCCAATTGTCCTGGTGCTTTTCTATGAACAGAAAACTGTCCCCAGGACTGCTGCTGCCATTTCTGGCTTGCCAGTGACAACCCTATTTCCTCTCTCAGATCTCCTAGGGGACCTAAGGATTTTCCCTGCCTACTTCACATTTTTAAATAATGTGACCAGCTTTTGTGTAACATACTTTGTCCCTGATGGTTTTTTAGGCACTATTCTGAGTCACTGTCAGTTGCCTTTATCCTGCAGTCTGTCAGCACAGGTGGATCTAGAGTTAGACTTCATGTTCAAATTCGCTTATTATAAAACGAAACACATTTGACCATCAAACTGTTTATCCTCATCAGTTTAGCAATCATCTTTTCCTTTCTTTTTTCTCCTCTTCCTTCTTCTCTCTTTTTAAATTTCTTTTCTTTTCTTTTTTTTTTTTTTTAACTGAGACTGTAAAAACACAGGGGCTTTCCAGATATTTGCATGTGCTCAAAATGGCAAAAGCAACCGATGGGGCTAAAAATACCATGAAAAGAATTTGTCTGTTTCATATATCATGAAACAGAGGCATCAGCTTTTAGAGCTCCTCCCTATATGACTTGGGACTCAAGGGGAGATGCCTTCTCCAGATTTACTCTGAAAGAGAGAACTGCCTAAATCCTCACAGTCTACTGCTATGTTCACCCACCCATGCCGTTCAAGGGATAAAGGACACCCAAGTGAAAGTGACATGGTGTTTGCCTCATGAATGTTATTCTCTAAATAAACAGTGAAAAGGGCTGGGGGAAGTATTGTTTAAATTTTTAGTGACACAAAATGAACTATATGTGAGTAAAATGTGCACAGTTGAGAGCAGATATCCATCCAAGGTCAATCATGGACTATTAATTTACATCTTAAAAGCCCCTTCGAAGGCCCATACGTTAAAAGCTTATTCCATGGCACGATTGTGATGCAGTGGACATTAAGAGGTGAAGCTCAGTGAAAGGTCTTCAAGTCATAAGAGCATGCCTCCAAGGGAATTGTGGGACCTCAGCCATGCCCTCCTCTCTCTCCACTTTACAACCGTAAGTGATCTTGTTTGGCTATGTGTTACCCCACTGAGGTACAGCCTCGCCACAGAACTTAGATTGTGGCAAAACAAGGTTTACTTTTCATTAATTGATTTATGCTGGGTATTTGTTATAGTGATGAAAAGCTGACTAATACATTACCCAAGGAAGAAAGTTCCTCACCCTGGTATTCAGAAGTTACCCACTTTAAGGCTTTGGGGGTATTGATAAACCTCAGTTCTTTCATTTCTGAGAAAGAAAGGTACAGAGGGGGTGTGATATTTTTCACTTTCCCCCAGGATTGATTACAGGGCCCCTGTGAGAATACATGGAGACCCATGGGGAGTGTCATATGAATCAGTGGTCATGGAAAATTCCAGCATAGGTAGATAGCCTGATGCACAGAATAGGTGTTTAATAACTGATCATTAACTTGAGCTTTCACTGTCTGTCTACAGGTGTCTGAAGCATATGCTGGTCACTAAAGAACACAGTCACTTTGGGCAAAAACTTAACTTGGAGAAAAATGAATCACTTCTTAAAAGCTATGCTCATGGACTTGCTCCCATGCCTCAGACAGCTGCAGTCATGTGGTTCTAATCCAAACATGTATGGACTTCATAATAACTTACTTGATTGTGGGGAGAGAAGAAAGATATTAGATCTAAGTCAAAACTGGCTTAGGTGTCATGACTCCTCTTCAGGCCTGTGCTGTCCTGGGGACATGTCCCATGTGCCAATACAACAGATGTTTCATTATTTTCATGTCATGCCATTCTGATTCATAGATTCATAGAAATTTAGATCTCATAAATGAGCACAGAATATTATGAAAGTTAGAACTGATTAGCACAGGGGCAAGGCTAAGATCAAGACTTTTCACCTAGGACTTTTGCAGTCACCCTGGGTTATGAGACCCTGCCCTTAAATATGGTTCAAAGTAGCTTCTGTATGTTCCCTCAGTGTTCCTAAAAGAAAGAGTGGGCATATTCTGCATGTTTCTTTTCTTTTGTTTTTCCAAACAAAAGGAGTGTTTCTTAGCTTTTATTTTTTAAATTCAGGTTTTTCATTTGACCATTGAACTTTCATTAAAGAAATATTTAGAATTTTCCTAAACACTTCTTTTTTATATAATGTTGCTTGGTGCATTTAGGCTTTGTTTTGTATAGAGCCAAGGTCTATACAAGTACTCTACCATGGAGGGATCTTTCCTTGGTTGGTGTACTTAAAATTCAAACTAATTTCCCTACATTATCATCACATTTTAGGTGCTTGAAATATTGTCCAAATGTAGGCACCTGCCTTATAAAGTTATACTCAAGGTTAAGAATAGAGCTTAGATGCAGACACTTGAAACTGAGGGCCCACAGTGACACTTATCTTCAGACATCACCTGTCTGTCCTGTGGTTGGTTGCCTGGCTGTGGTTACAACTCTGAGCACTGATTCATGGAAACATATTTACATGGCAAACGATTAATCAGTGCAGGTGCTTGAATTATTGTGAGGAGGTTCCCCATTAGAGATGACTTTTTGGTTATTGTTTTTCACACACATCCAAGAGATCTGTGTGTTGACCACTTCAACATCATATTGAGTACAGTTGACATTATGATTCTTCTTAGGGATGTGTCATTTAATAACACTTCCTCTAGGAAGAGTGTCTATAAAGTCTGGGAGCCAGGCTCCTACTCCAATGCAGCCATTGGAGCTTTAGAGGAGTTATTGCTTTCATTTTCCATAAACATAAAAAGAAAACACCAATTTACCATGGCAGCCAAGTTTCAGATGCTAAGCTTTTGTGAAGCCAAATAAGAAAGTTGTGCCTTCCTCATTTAAGCAAAAAGAAGTGAATGTTTTTGTGTTTCTTCCTCCTTAAGAAGAAACAAAACCCAATGGAAGATGTCTCCATCTATACACCTGTTCTATCTAAAAAGCTCTGGACCTGAAGGCCATTTAAACAATCTATCACAAGGGCCAAAATAAATAACAATAATTAGAGTACCTGACACTCACTACTTCACTTTGTCTTCTGGGTGCCAGATACTGTGAGAGCTGCTGGGCATATAGACAAAAAATAAAATAAAATAAAATTTAAAAAACCACATGAACTGAAAGAATTGATCTAATGCAGAGCAATGCCTTCTACAGTCAAAGAAAAGTATGTAAAGTACAAGGGTGAAATGAAAATGTAGAGTTCAAAAGTGAACACAAAAGATTTATTGCTGCATTGGAAGAGAACAAAGATCACTCTAGAAAGACAGTTTTTAAAAGCAGCCCATAATGTCCCACAGGGACTGAGGCCAGGGAGACCACAGGTTCAAAATTAGCCTGAGCTAAATTACAAGACCCAAGTCTAAAACAAGCAAACAAACAACAACAAAAAAAACCTTGAAAACCAAACAAAAACAAACAAACAAAAAAGCAAGAAGGGACCAGCAAGATAGCTCAGTGGATGAAGTTACTCCTTGAACAAACTTGGAAAGAGAAAGCAAACTGTACGAAGTTTCTGTCCTCTGAGTCCCACATGTGTGCTGTAGTGTGTTCCCCCCACCCTGTCTCTCTCTGTCTCTCTCCCTCCCTCCCACACACACATACACCATGTATACATGTGCATATAATAAAATAAAAACTTTTAAATTAGAATAAAGATGGAGTCTTTGAATTCCCCATCGAAAGTGAAGCAGAGGACTTGAGGACATAAGGAACGAGCTGATCAGATGGGCAAGTGTCCTGAGGGAGAGCAAAGGGCTACACTGGCTCTTAGGGAGGAAAAACCTACAGAAGGCCTTCATGTGGACAGAAACCAGGTTTATCCCAAAGAAGAAAAATGTGTTGCCCCAAGTTCTTAGTCTCAAGTCACACTCCAAATGGGTCTAAGTTTTCATTTTTCTCATTCTTTGAGATTCATTATCATGTTCTAACTCCTAAATTATTTTTCACCAAAAGTGAATTGTTGCAACACAGCTTTCCATGGCACTAGAAATTAAGGAACAGAAGTGCTGTTGAGCACATGTTTGGCCCTAGCGACTCACAGTGAGCAGGTTGATCAAATCCATGTTAGGTTCCAAGTGGTGAGAGGCGTTCTGCAGGGAGACCAGTTCACTCAGGGTAACAGAGAGCTGGTGCATTTTCACAATGTTCACTTTGTTCTCTTCCATCCAGTCTGGGAAAATGACATGGACTGCTATCAAGTCTTTCAAGTGCACGCCCAGGATGGGGATTTTGAAGCCATCACAGTCAGCGAAGGCCTTTCGGTAATTGCAATAATTGCCGTTGGAGGAGACCAACTCTGTCATTTCGTTCCAGTTCTGGGAAGAGACGGAAAAGTAGAATTGTCAACCAACAGCTTTCTCTCCTGTCCACTTGCAGATTCTGGAATATGTGGCTTGGAATTCCTCAGCTATGGGTAAGAGGATTGGCTGCACCAACATTGATGTGGGAAAATTGTCAACCAATAGGAAGATAAGGAAAAAAGTGTATTGGATCAGGCTCTCACAGCCTGCTCCTCTGCCTACCTGTGAGCTGCTAAATGGCATTGCATATGCTTAGGATTTGGAGAGTAAGGAGAAATGGCAGTTCATAAAAGCAAGCATGCAATGCCCTTGTGTTTCCAAAGAAGCAGCATTGCAAATGTCACTTGAAAGTTAACCTGGGACAAGGCAAGGGCAGGAAAAGCTGGAGTTTTAGGCTCCACATTAACTAAAGGGGTGAATGTGAACATGGCTTCTCACTTGTTTGGCTTTCAGTTTCTTTTCCTGTGAGAAAGAAGAGTTTAGGTGTGTGTGTGTGTGTGTGTGTGTGTGTGTGTGTGTGTGTGTGTGTATGCGCGTGTTATTTATGTATATATGAGGCCAGCTAGTGGTGCTCCTCTGAAATATTCACCCATGTTTATATAGATAATTTCTACTGGTTAGTGAATAACAACTAGACTTTCTAATAAATCCCTTCTCATTAACTTTCCTTTTCCAAAAGCTTTGCACATGCTCAGATGAGCTATTTCTACCTCTAACCCCAGGATGTAGGATGGGTTCTGCTCTAGTCATCATCTGTTCCATCATAGGAATCCCACCCCTTTTGTTCCCAAACAGTTTAGGAATTGAGGGTTAAGCCTATAAGTAGACCATATTTCTCTGACAATTCTTATTGGTACAGGATGACCATTGTATGACTTGAGATGGTCAAGCATGCCTAGAAAGCAGGTCATTAGCTAATGAGAAGAGAGTTAAAATGAGAAATCTTTCATGTATAAGAGTAAATCTTGCTGTGAGATAATCCTTCTGTATGCTGTGAGTATGCATTGCTTTCATTGGATAATAATAAAGCTGACTGGCCTATAGCAAGGCAGGAAAAAGGCAGGAAAGCTAAACTGCAAATGATGGGATGAAGAAGGGTAGAGTCAGAGGAATCACCAGCCAGATGATGGAGTCGGACATACAAAATGGGATAGAGGTAAAGTCTATGCGCCTCTGGTCAGCACATGGAAATGACGTAAGTTGTAAGAGCTAGTAAGTAATAAGCCTGAGCTATTGGCTGAGCATTTTTCTATTAATATAAGTTTTTGGAATAAGTTTATTTGAGACTAGACAGTTGGGACAAAAAGCAGCATTTACAAGATCTTTCCTGATGCTTCCCAAAGTTCAACCAGGAGGGAAACCAGGCTAATCAAGCAAATGAACAAAAAACAAAAAAATGAAGAAAACATGGTACAAATCCTAGAATCTGGGAAGAATGTGCAGGAACTGAGCCAGAGTCTGATAAAGTCACACTTGGAGTCCATCCAGACACTGGACTGCCAGAACTGTCAGACAATTGACTGCTTTATTGTTTAACCAACTTAGATTTTCTTAATCTTCATCTTCCTTAGGGTTAAAACAGAACATACCCTCCTACAACTACAGCCAAGTATAAGTCTAAGAGAAAATGTTCCTTTCTGCTCAGTAAGTGAAATAGTTATACACTATGGTCTGTAAATAAATATAGTACAGAATATCCATTTGTGAACTGGTTTTTAAAGGTCCATGCTTTTGAGTCTGAATATTTCTATGTAAGACCTCCAACTTCCCTTTTGTTTGTATCTCCCATGTGCAACAGTGTTATGACTTGAGAAGTGAGCGATTGGGTATTTATCTTACTCATCTGGCATCTTCCCCATTTATCAGAGTGTTGATCACAGAAAAAGTACCAAATAAGTACTGGGTGACATTTACAATCTTTGGGTAGGACTTTTTCTTTTTGTATTTATTTATTTATTGGAGAGTAGGTATGCATGGCTCAGCTTATGTATACAGATCAGAGGAGACTGTTGGGAATAAGTTCTTTTCCTTCCACCAAGTGGGTTCCAGGGATTAAATCCAGGTCACCAGCATTGGTAGCAAGCATCCTCACCTACTGAGTCACCTCACCAGCAGCCATCTGGTCTTCTGTGTTGACTCTGCCAATTGGGCTATTCTCTTCCTATTTAGTTCCCTATGTGTAACTTTGCATTGATTTAAGAGAAAAAGGTTGCCCTTCCATGTAACACTTGTCAGGGTCAGAGTACATTACAAAAATCTATGCTGCTTAGAATTTAGATCAAAGTTCACCATACCTTTGTAACTTCTGAAGAGAGATGAGAATGGGTCTCTTTGAGTCGGGAAATGGAGCTATGACTAAGCCCTCCAACCACTGCCATCAAGGTGTTAAAATTTTTTAGTTGAAGGAGTTTCTGCAATGAGGGAAAAAAAATGTTAACACTGGTACTTGGTAGGGATTTTTCAAGGGTATTCTGAATTTCCCAAATGCAGGCGAATACAAGGACAATGCTAATAACAAGAATCTGGAGCGTGGGGGTGGGGGATATATCAGTTTGAAATGAAATGAAAATTGAATCCGCTAAAAAAGAAAGATCATATTTCATAGAACACAAATAGTTCTAAAGCACTGCCATTTAAAAGCAACCTTGTTATGGGAGAAGAGTATGGATTATCCATTAAACCTGTATGAGTGGTTGAACCATCTAGTGCTCTTCTATTGTTAGCACCAAAGTTCTCAGTGACTTTTCCCAATAAAATTAACACACAGACTCCCCAAACCTGGATCTGAGTATGAGACAAACCTGCGCTACATTGATGAACTTTGTGATTACTTCTGCCCTTTGCTGAGGACTTGGTTTGCTGAGAACCATCAACTGGACCCACTTAGAGATTCCATTAAATAAAGCAATAGATCTTTCCAGAGTTGGGTTATTCTCCAGGCAGCCATGGATGACATAACTCTGATAATCTGTGAACTGGAAAAGGAAGACTCAGATTCTAAACTACTACGGGCCTTTCACAAAATGATTAGACATATGGATAAGGGGTGAGCTAGCCTTTTGTAACAACATGGTGATTTCTTCCATTCCTCATTAATAAAGGATTCCATCTTGAAATCTCTGTGCCTTTAAATGAGGTATTTTACTACATTTCATAACTCACCCCACAAACATACAAATCACAACGCTTCAGAGGAGGGGGAAGAAGGGGCAACATTCAAAGTTACATTCTTGAGAATTCCAAACTTCCCAAACCTTGAAGCTCCACCTAGGCCATTATCCTGGGAATATTAAAACAGAAAGATTGATTTCACCCCAGCAAAGAACTAAGGTTTTCCATTTTTAGTTCTACCAGTGACACCAAAGAATAAACACATTTACGATACAATGGCACACACTAGAGAACAGGAAATGAATGGAATATAATATTCTCAAATAAGAACAAGATTTTAGTATTTCAAGAAAAAAAAAGATAGGAAAAAATGGTAAAGATGCTCTTTAGCAATCTAGATGTATTTTCAGACTGTGAGGAGAGACACTGTCACATATAAGCTATACAAAGTTCAGAGACTTGCCTTCCTTGGCCTGTATGAGAAGCATCTTGATGGTTCTCTACAAACAGGATTTGCTAGGCGAATGCCTCAGTCTTTCAGAAATTTCTGCTGCTAAGGTAAGGATGCAGCTTCTAGAACATTTGTGCAGCACGCACAAGGACCTGGGTTCGATCCCCAGGGATACTCAAAGTTTTTTTTTTTTTTTTTTTTTTAAAGAAAGGAAGAAAAGAAGAAAAGAAGGAAAGGATGAAGGAAGGAAGGAAGGAAGGAAGAGAAAGGAAGAAATCTGTGCTTCTAGACAAATCATCTTGTTTGCCAGCAATGGGGGATTTATTTCAGGTTTAGAAGGGGAATGCCTTCCCCTGAGCTCGCGAGAGACACAAAACTAAACAACTGATGGAACCACTATAAAGAAGTGGGTAGTAACAAAGATGCATCTTGAAGAGACTGCCAGTGAGGAAGGAAGGAGAAAGGGAAGGGAGATGGAACATAGGAAAGGAATGAGGGTCCATCAATATGTGTAGGGAGGAAAGTCTAATGCAGGGACCTCTGCCTCCAGGAAAGAGGCCAGCTAATGTTGAGAGCTCTTCAATGCCTACAATCCTTAATTCTCAACCTATGTCCATAGTTAGACATTTGTATAGATACCACAATAAGTTTCCCACCCCATGCCCCCATGCTACAAATAAAAGTTCCAGCAAAAACCATTCATCTGAACTAAGTAAACCTTGAATGACTAAATTTCTGCTGAATGTTTAGAAAAAATGTGCTTTCATTCTATGAAAGGAGACATTGAACATAGCGACAGAAATATAGCTCCTGAGCCATAAACTAAAGACAGGATAATATTTATATTTGGTTAAAAGGGATTGTTCCTGTGAATCAAAGGCACATTTCCAATAGAGCCCAGCAGCAGAGGCTGCCAACACTTGGAAGTATGAACATGCAGCTCTTGGGAAAGTTGGCACGTCGCATGTTACCCTTGGAAGAATAACTGTCAAGTTCTTACTGAGATCCTTCTAAAAGATTTATGCTCCAGAAAAGTGAGGTGCTCAGCCAACTCAATGGGCTCCAGATGGTCAAACAAGAGACAAGCCTTCCCCTTTTTCGATGCTTTTTTCCTCTGTGTCACTCTCCTCATCCAGTCATAAGAAGGACTGTGAAAGAAGAGAGAGTCTGGTCAACGTGCCCAACACCCATTTCACTCAGTGAAAGATATTAACCTACTGACTGTAACTCTTGGCCTACCACCAGGAGCTTCTATGAAATGCATGCCCTGTCCTCCATATTGGAAGAGAAAATCACCTACCCATTGTCAACAGAACCCAGACTTTGAGTTTTTTTTTTTTTTTTCTTCTAGGCAGGCTAGGTGTGGTCAGTCCTGAATCTCTTACTTGGTAGTCCTTGTGACCAAGAAAGATCTGAACTATAAAGAAGAGATGAGGGTGAGGCCTGTCAATTCAAAAGTTTAATGGCATATAGGAGGTGATTCATGACACCTGGAAACAACCACGGGGGTTTATCACAGTTGTGTCACATGGATTAACTGAAAAACTCATGAAGACAGAGGCCTAGGTCTCACTTCCAGAGACTCTGATTTACTAGGAATGAATCTGGATGACAGACATTGTAAACAAGCCTCCCTGATAATTCCTGGGTCATTCATTATCAATTAGTCTTGAAGAAGTATTCTAGGCAAAGAGAAGACTTAAGACAAAAAGTATGTGCATTTGATATACACCTATAATCCTAGCACTAAGCAAGCCATGGGAAAATCATCACAAAACTCAGGGACAGCCTAGGATAGATAATGAATTCCAGGCTAGCTTGGGATAGACTATACAGTTGTAATATGGACAGCCATACTTAGGTTCACGAGAAAGCTCACCCTGAGCAGAGTTAGTTAAATGATTCTAATTAGTATTTTTTTTAATTTTTATTTTACATATCGTTCCCAGTTCCCACTCCCTCCCTGCTTTCCTCCCTCCCTCTTTTCCTCTCCCCCCCCACATGCACCCCAACTACCCTCCCCTCCCATCCCCCCACTCTACATGTAGGGTGATGCCATCCAAGAGGAGTCACCTAAATCTGTCAAGTCATTTGCAGTAGGGACCAGGATTTCTCTCCTGTCTCTAGGTTAAGGGAGTATTCCCCCATGGTGGATGTGCCTGCAGGTCCTTATGTGCACCAGGAATACATCCTGGTTCCACTGTCTGAGATCCCTTAGACTGCTCAGAGTCTAATTAGTATTAAGTCCCTCATGATAACCAGTCAGGACACAACTGTGGTCAACACTGGGTAACCTCAGGGGAGCCCCTGAAGCACTGGGGTGAAGTTTCTCAGGCTTGCATGAGTGTATGAATCGCAGGGGATCTTATTAAGGTATAGATTCTAACTTGGCAGGCTTAGGTGGGACCCAAGACTGTTTTCTGATGGGCTCCTAGGAAAAATCATTGTGGAGATCTGAATAGCTAGAGCATAGGAGACAATTACTAAGTACTCAGCATCCATTCTATATCAGATGTTTTTATATGCTTCCTAGTGAACTTTTTAAACATAGACTAATCCCATAAAGGTACAAACAAACTGTAGCTTGGAGAGATAGATAGTGCTAATTACTACAGTTGTGCTCATTGTAGCCAGGCTGTCTCCAAAGAAGAAGCTAGCTTCCTTCTAAACAATATAGATTCCATTCAAGCAGGGTCATCACTAGCCCTTCCCCAAAGCGATGGACCCAAGGAGACCAAAAGACATGCACCATTCTTACATGCTGGATATGTCCATGAGATTGATGTGTTTTTCATATCCTAGTTTACTGGCTACTTCCCGGAACTCCTCAGTCATACGAATCAAACCAAGATCCAAATTAAACTCTGCAGGGAATTTCAGAATCCAGTACCTGAAAAGTATATAAAGGACTTTTGACAGCTGGGAGATTTCATTTGGACCTCTTTGGAGACTATTGTACCATTTTATAAACTGAACTTAACATGGAATCCAGTACCATAGTTCCAAGTTGTTAGCTCATAGCCCTAGCATTACATATCTTTCCTTAAGAGCCAAGATCCAGCAACTCTGAACTCCTTCCTGACTTACTACAGTACAAAGCTGAGCCCGCCCCCACCACTGCCAATTCATGGCAAGGTATATGGTGCGGGAGTAAAAAACACAGAATCAACCAGAACTGTGGAGCTAGTTTTCCTCTGTACGGCATTAGCTCCTAGCTGATCTCTAGTCCATAAGGAACAGAGAAGAACTAATGGTTACAAAGGCAGTGAGGTGAAACATTGGTTGCTTAGAAAAAAACAGGAATTGTTAACAATTCCAAAACCCCAAGCTACGAGCAATTAAATCTGTAAGTGTACTTACCTCATGAAATAGCAGACCTTCAGTCGGAACTCATCACAGCCTTCTCCACTGGCATTCTGATACGTAGACTAACTAGTTAAAGAAAATGGCCCTATGTTTTCCTTTGCACTTGCCTTGGCAATGCTGTTTCAAAAATTTACACACATCCCAGGCAATTTGAGTTGCAGGCTCACTTCTAATCCAAAACATTGAAATGCAAAATGCCCCCAACTCAGAAACTTTTGGAGATCCAATAATACCACAAGGGAAAAAAAGTCATTACTGAACTAATCCAATGCTATAGTCAAATAAAAGTCTACTTAAAATAGTGTATTTTTGGACTGTATGCCATCTTTATTTACATCTTATGTAAGTGTAGTAGATTTATGTGTGTGTGTGTGTGTGTGTGTGTGTGTGTGTGTGATAAACATTCTGCCATGATATTAATGATCATTAAGAGTACTACTAATTCTAGAAATAGGCTTCATCTAGCTTCCTACATGTGAATTCTGGCTAGAGTCTGAAGCAGGTAATTAGGAACTGAGTTTGTGTATTCCAGGTGTATTTAATAGATTGTAGTCCTTTAACCTTTCTCATATCTGCTACATATGACATTTAAATTGTTTAAGTTTCTTTCAGTGACCCATGACCATTCCTAATATGTAAGCACAGCCATTCTGAAATTTGTTGAAAATCCAAATATAAAATGGTTGGGTTTTGCTAGGCGATGGTGGTGCACCCCTTTAATCCCAGCACTCAGGAAACAGAGGCAGGTGGATCTCTGTGAGTTAGAGGCCAGCTAGTTCTAGGATGGGCTCCAAAGCAATACAGGGAAACCCTGTTTCAAACCCCCCCCAAAAAAGGTTGGGTTTCAAAATTGTGGCTGATGTGAACTCAGCCTAGAGATAGTCAAATGGGCAAATATGTGGGATGTGAGCACATTGACACTGTGTAGTCAAACTTGACTTGTTAAGGCCCTGGGATATATTTTTGGTCTGGTGGAGAAGTGACTTGCAAGTTAATTACCTTCCCGAGTACTTGCCACCCAACAACCATAAACTGTGGTTACAGGCATAGTGCAAATTATGCATAATTCAAAACTGATAGTACCCAGAAGCACCATTTTAACTAAAAAGATTCATATTTAGGATTGGTATTTTATATAACAAGTGCTCAGATCTCATGGGTAATTGAAACTGTCATGTCAGGTATGTTTATACTAAGGTTGTGTTATTTGTTAAGTCTATCCACTGGTTCTCCTAGAACAATTACTTCTACTGTGATGGTACACAGTGGGCATAGTAAGAATTCAAGGATGAAACTTTTTATATCATATGAAATTCCATACTATGCTCTAAAATGCCTGAATATCTCTCATAATCCACGTTTCCTGCATTGGCAAACCCACAAAGGCAAGTGTGTCATTTGTGGATGAGCTCTGTGGACAATGTATGGATCATGTGGTTGACTCCCTCATTTTCCTACACTCTACTGGTCAAGAATGGGATCAATGGATGCAGAATCTTTCTCGCTTCTAAGGCACTCCATTCAGGGTGAGCATCTTCCTAACCTCTCTAACATCCCCTCATCCCCTAAAGTTGTAGGAAGATGGAAGGAAGAAATATGAAGTGGACAGGCCCAGTCCCTGCTTGGCTCAGGCAGCCTTGGCAGGCAACAATGTTTTGGCCAATTTTCTAAGTTCAGGCTCTCCCTTTACTGCAAGTCTTGTTACTTCTCCAGGGGCTCCTGGGTTAATATAAGGCGGAGATGTAAAAACACACTTAGAGATTGTTGAACAGACCTTAGGAAATCAACTTCCTCAATCTGTGAGACTGCTTAAATTATCATGCATGCAACTTTTCATAGTTTTTCAGGACCACAATACACACAAAGTCAGTAAATACCTGCTCACATTACTGAGTGGGTTTTCAACTATGAGGAATTTTTAGCCTTGTGCATTCAGATTTTTTTCTTTGTTTTTAATCAATTAAGCCAAAAAAATTATCATCAATCAACAAATTACAGGAGGAAGAAACCTTCCAGAACATTCACCATGTCTTACCAGCAAGCAGAAATGTGAAAACTAAGGTACGCTTTGTTGTCACCACAGAAGAAAAATATTGAATCAGTGTTAAATAATTTTTGTAAATGTTTAGGATAAGTTGGGAACCCTCAGCCTACAACTCCTGTTCTACCTTACATCTTGCCAGCATCTTCAAGTTCAGCCAAAATACCCAGTATTTAGTCAACTATTTGGGCCATCATCCAGATGCTTCATCTAACATCCATATAGTCTCAAAACATCTGGATAATTGACTAAATAAGACCATTTATTTATCTTAATTTACTTGTTTTAGATAGATACTCATCTAAATACAGAACTTTATTTGTAATATAAACATTACACAACAGTTGAAAAGATATATGCAGAGGAGCTTTTCTGCCAGTTCAGTAGACGATAAATACCATCGGTGCATCAATAGAACTATTCTTGGCAAGTAGCTGTCATTCAACTCTCCACTGTCATCTGTGGAAAATAAAATAAGAGGCAGAGATGGCAGGGTTAATCTTTTTTTCCTTTAATATCACTTGAGAAAATACAGTGTCAACAATGTCTCATAAACCCTGCTATATTTTGTAAGATTTATATTTATTTATTTAAGTTTTTGAGACAGGGTTTTTCTGGAACTCACTCGAAGGACTTTGCAGGGCTCAGACTTGCAAAGATCTGCCTGCCTCTGTCTCCTGAGTGTTGGGATTAAAGGCATGTGCCACTACCGTCCAGCAAGATTTATTTTTAATTATGTGTATATGTGTGGTTGTGTACACATAAAGCCAGAGCCATTAGTGGGAGTAACAGGCAGTTGTGAGTCATCTACATGGGTTCTGAGAACAGAGTTCCATTGTCTTTAAGAGCAGCATGCTCTCTTAACCACCAAGCCATCTCTCCAGTCTCAAGGCCAATTATCTTTATTACCTCCAATTTCTGCTGGTATTTTCTTGCAAGCTAATGTAGATGGTGTCACCATTCTTCTGCTTTGCAATTGATAAATTTAGCAAATATAAATTCCAGACATCCAGTAAACTTGAAATTGAAAATAGTGATTTCAGAACAAGTATGGACTTGGCATATTTGAGACATACAAAAACATGTTGATTATCTGAAATTCAAATGTACATGATCATCTTGTATTTATTTATTGGGGTAGGGGTGCTTCATGTGTGGAAGTCAGAGGACAGCTTTCAAGAACTGCCTCTCTCCTTCTACCATGTGAGCTCTGGGACTCAAACTCAGATCATCAGGCTTGGCAGTGCCTTTAGTTGAGCCACCTTGCTGGTCACAGTCATTCTATATTTTATCCAATAGCCCTACTCTGATTTACTACTGGTTTCCTATCAACTAAATAAATTATATTGCTAAATTGAATTTAAAAGGTCTCTTTGTGACTCCAATGCTCAATGATAAAATAGATATACAAACAGCAATACAAAGGGTATGTCAATATATACAAGAGATATACAGATGAAGCTTGTGCAAAGCATGTGCGCGTGTACACGCGCGCACGCACACGCGTGCACACACACACACACACACACACAGAGAGAGAGAGAGAGAGAGAAAGAGAGAGAGAGATGAGGCAAGAAATAAGGCAATTATCACTGTAGCATGTACCATATGCATGAGAACATACACTGAGAAGTGGGAGGGAGAGGTAAGCAACATTTCTGATAGGTTATTAGGAATTATGACTATTCAGAATGACAACTGATGATCTTAAAGAGAATTCCAATGAGAGACGAAAACTATGGAAGAAAATAATACAAGGAATGTTCCAGAAATAAGTAGATAGTTTGTCTGAAGTGTGAGAAATAAAAGCAGAGGTCGGTGAAACTGGAGAGACAGGATGGGTCTACCCTCAGATGCCAAAGTACAGAGACTGAAACATATTCCAGAAAGAACTTGCATGTGAACTGTGAAGCAAGCAGCAGCACCAAGATGGACAAAAGGAATATAAACATCATACCAAACATCTCAATGCATGTGTTGAGCAGTTCATCTAGCGTTGCTGCTTTCCCAAGGCTGCTGGACCCCATGGTTATTTAGCCGTTGTCAAAAATCTGTAGATATTTCCAGCGGTAGACAGATCACCTCCATAGCTGTAGCAACCACTGCTTCCCTCGCCCCGTGGTAGCCTCTGCTCCTAATTATACTTCAAGAAAACTCTAAATGGCCAAGAAGAGGAGATTATTTCAGGGTAGTTTTAGACCACAACAAAACACTGCTTTCCTATCTTTCCTAAGCCTGTCCAACTGCCACACTGAGTGTATTTTCTATAAGAAATGTATATGATTGACAGATGATCCTATTTGACATAAGAATTAAACAACTGGATGGAATGCCCCTTAGCATGCACTGTGGTATGAGACCACAGAGATATTCTATCTCAAATACCATCCCTTTCTGCAGCTAAACAGTTTTGGGAACAGTATCTTAGACTTCACATTCTTACACAATAAGCCGTTCAGGAATGCCACATGGTCTACTCAAGTTTAATGGCATTGCAGAGATATTTAGGGACAGACACTTTGGAATAAAAATGTAGTTGTAAGCATCAACCTCATTGATCATGTGAACATTCAACAGCTATAAGCAAAACTTCTAAACTTTCCTGAAACTCACTGATGGTAACATCATTACTATAAGGAGGTCTCTTAGTTACATTTTTATTGCTGTTCAAAGACACTGTGACTAAGAAACTTAGAAAAGAAAACATTTATTAGGGCTCGGGGTTCCAGAGGGATAGAGTCTATGACCATCATGGTGAGGATCATGGCGGCAGGCAGGGATGCTGCTGGAGCAGTATCCAAGTCTACATCCTGATGCACAGTCCCAAGGCAGAGAGTGAGCTAGCTGGGAATGGTGTGGGCTTTTGAAATCTCAAAGCCAACCCCCAGTGACACACCTCCTCCAACAAGGCCACACCTCCTAATCCTTCCCAAACAGTTCCAACAACTGGGATCATGCATTCAAGCACATGAGCCTATGGAGATATTCTTAGTCAAACTGCCACTAGAAGCTTTAGTGATACTGACTGACTTCATTGATTAGACCTTCATAAAGAAGCTGTGAGGCACTATTACTATTCTCTACTAATAAATAACAGAGACTCAACAATTTGATCTGAGCTATTCCTTCTTTCAGACCGCGAAGCAAGAACCCTGTGTTAGCTGGGCAGTGGTGGCACATGCCTTTAATCCCAGCACTGAGGAGACAGAGGCAGTGGATCTCAGTGAGTTAAAGGCCAGCATGGTCTACAGAGTGAATTCCAGGACAGCCAAGACTGTTATACAGAGAAACCATGTTTCAAAAAACCAAACAAAAACAAATAAACAAGAAAACAGAACCCCATGTTAAAATAAAATTGTGGACTTCCTTTGCTTTGTATGACTCTCCCAGATATGAATAGTGTAAGCTGTTACAATATTGTCCCTTAATCTAATATTAAGGGCATGACTCTTTCATAGCATCTCAGAAAGAGGACACAATCACAATTATCACTCAGAGTTGTTATAGAAAGTGTCACTGTTGGGAGGCAATACCATCTTACTTCATAGAACCAGCCTCTGATGCTAGATCATCATAGGACACGGAGAAGCACAGAGGCCACCACTTTGGAGAGTGGAGTGCATAAACGAGGCCATTAGGGACTAATGAGCTGGTTGAATCAGAGTTTATTTCCCTCCCAGGAGTTGTTTATTTAGCTAGTGATTACCAAGCATCAGGCAAAGAATTAATAACAAAAGCTACCTAAATGAAGGAAGATATCATTCTGTCCTTGCCTTCATCAGGCTTCTAGTCAACTGCAGAAAGCACAAGGGAAAAATGACTAATGTTCATGGGCATGGATGTATTCATTCAGTGATGTCACCAAAGGATGGCATTTGGGTGAATATGTACATTGGGCATATATTGAGCCTATGGGCTTCATCTGATTCTGGATGAAAGAAAGAAAATCCCTCTTGATTCATTCTATACAGCCATGTTTGTGCCTAGGGTGCCACTCTTGATAATAAAAAGAATGGCTTAATGAAAACAACAGGAAGGGGATTCATAAAGTTATGCGGAGCCAACTTTTACCCCTCACAACAAAGACATCTATCTTATCAGCAAACCTGACTCCCTACTTTAAAAAAACCATTTCTCACCCATGTCACCTTCCACTTGCAGGCCTTAACTCTCTCTGTTTATCTTTCTTCAAATGTCTGAGGTAATAACTCTCCATAGAAAATTCCCCAAAAAGATTTATTAATTTTATGAATGAGTGGATTTATGAGTAAAGTAAAAATTACACAAAATTCATCTAAATATGTACAAATTTGTGAGATAATTAGAAATCCTGTAAATACTTAGGTTTTTTGTTTTGTTTTGTTTTCCTTTTTCAGTTTGATTCACTCATTTAAATTAGCTTTGAAAAATCTGGTCAGCCTTTTATGTTTAACAGGGTCCATCCACAGTCATTAGAAGAATTTCATATCTCTTCTAGGACATTCTAGGTAGCACTTCCCCAATTTCTCTCTAATGTAAGCTTTATTAATACATTTAAAAGTTGAGACTGAACAATTAGCTGGAAATAGTGGTATATGACCGACTGTAAGTAGTTTTTCAGGCCAAAACCTAAAATGATTCTTGAGTTGTCTGGGAAGTGTTGTGTTCTCCACAAGTGGTTAGAAATAACCCTGTACTAAAGACCTGCACTACATTTGGAGCTATATTTGTGAACAGTGAAGGGTCTGGTTTGTAATGGGCCAAATGGACTGGCCTATTGGGTTACAATCTGTTTCTGCAGAAAACCTGTCTGTGTCTCCACTTGTCCCTCTGCTTCCTGCACATCTACCTGCAATCACATTTCACTCACATGGGACTTATTGTGTCTACAAACGCCTTTCAAAAGCAAAGATTCCACCTTGCAAAAACAATGGCAGTCATGTCTTAAAATGGGCAGCAAGGAAAGAGTTTACCTATAATCCCACTGTGCAAAAATACAGCTCTCCCTAATGTCATAGCATGCTCCTCTTGTCTTGTTGGGTGTATTTAGGGTTGGTTCTTTTATAATCTTAATTGATTTATTTTAAAAAGCACAATCTATTTTCATGCAGATAGAGTTCCAGGTCTTAGAAGATGTCAAAGGCAGTTGTCATCCCTGGAAAGGGCATCAAGGAAGCAGACATAAGAGCTGGTTCATTGTACTCCTATTACAAGTGCTCTGGAAAACCTGAAAACAACAGCAGGAAAGAACACAAAGTTAGTTAATGGACACCCTAAAGAACCTACCTGGTGGCAAAGCATCCTCAGCGTTATTCCCTGAGGTCTGTGTGATGTTTGAGATTGCTGTAAACTTTAACTTTAAAATTAAATAAAAGAGAAGCATATTCAAAATCATTATTTGGTGGCATGATTTTTTTAAAAAATCAATTTGCAGTTTGCTTTTTAGGAGCCTAAGAAAGGGCCCAGAGCCCTATATGCACATATGCACATACTTTTAAGAGCAATAAGCAAAGGCCAATTTCATGCCAGTTTTTAGTTAATAGCTTTAGATATAAATGAGCACTTCAGGCTCTTAGAGCTTTTCAAAAAAGAAAATCAGGTTTTTACATAGCCAGCCACATAGGCAAAGTTTTACTTAAACTTGAAGCCTTTTAAATTGAGTACTGAATGTGAAGTATAAAACCAGTTTGTAGACATGATAGGAAGTGGTGGCATTTAAAGACAAAAAAAGTGAAATGGAATGAAAACTATCATTGTTTTAGAGTAGTGTGCAGTGCATAGATGGCTTTATCAGTAATGAAATTTTATTCCTGAAAATTCACACCAAACCTGAGAAAAACTGTCAGGTTATAGTCTTCACAAAGTTTCACAAAGTGCTTGGAAACCATGCCAGTCCCACACTGATCCCACATCAATAATACCACACCAACCCCACACCAATACCACAATAGTACCACACCAATCTCAAACCAACCCCACAACAATACCACAATAATAACACACCAGCCTCACACCAATACCATACCAACCCCACACCAACACCACACAGAGAATTTCTCCTAGTTCCAGAAGAGCAGGATTTATAAGGTGAAATGTCATATCTAATGAGAAGTAGTTTGAAATGGTATTAGTCACATTTAAACTTCCAAAGATTGCCTTGTCCATGGCATTCTCTCTTCCCAGAAAAGATTAATCAAGATATTTTATAAAGACTCTCTCTTCTCACAGTAGACAATATCTCTATACATACTTGAACGTGTTATTTTTCTCATTGTAATTGTTTTGGGGATAGAGAACAGGGTCTCACTATGTATCCCTGACTGTCCAGAAACTCACTATATATCCCTGACTGTCATGGAACTCACTATGTTAGACCATGCTGGCCATAAACTCATTGAGATCTGCCTTCCTCTGTCTCCTAAGTGCAACCTTGCCCCCAAAAACCCACAACATATTTTTTTTACATATACATACATGACCTTCATATGGAGACAAACTTTTGTAAGTACCTAAATTCTGTACCAAAAAAAAAAAGGTGACATTATTAAAAAAGCTTTAATCTTGAGTTCTGTAAAAGAAATAATACTAAGCCCTGATCCTGCTGCTCCTGTCTCCGGTCCCCATCAAGAGCACCCTTGGAGCTCTGATACACCCCCACCCATCCCTACCGCCAGCCTACCCAGCCCTACCCTGTGCCCTACCCTACCCATGGTCCTGCCGCTCTGGTTGAGCACTAGGACAGAGGGTGGAGCCAACAGTCCACCCTACTTCGGAGACTTCTTGGAGCAACTCTGAACAAAGGAGACCTGCCTATCCACGTGAGACCACTACAGACATAAGCATAACCAACAGAATTCAAGAGATGGAAGAGAGAATCTCAGGCGCAGAAGATAAACTAGAAGAAATAGATTCATCGACCAAAGAAAATCATAAATCCGAAAAATCCTTAACACAAACCATCCAGGAAATGTGGGACACCATGAAAAGGCCAAACCTAAGAATAATAGGCATAGAGGAAGATGAGGAAGCCCAGCTCAAAGGTGCCGAAAACATATTCAACAAAATCATCGAGGAAAACTTTCCAAATCTGAAGAAGGACATGCCCATGAAAGTACAAGAAGTATATATAATAACATATATATAATAACATATAATAATCAAAACACCTAGCATACAGAATAAAGAAAGAATATTAAGAGCAGCGAAGGAAAAAGGACAGGGTAACATATAAAGGCAGACCTATCAAAATTACACCTGATTTCTCCATGGAAACCCTCAAGACCAGAAGGTCCTGGATAGATGTTCTAAAAGTATTAAGAGAACATGAATGCCAACCTAGGCTATTATATCCATCAAAACTCTCCATCACTATAGATGGAGAGAACAAGATATTTAATGACAAAACCAGATTTTCCCAATACGTATCTACAAATCCAGTCCTACAGAAAGTATTGGAAGGAAAACTCCAACCCAAAGAAAGTAACTACGCCCACAAAAATGTAGGCAACAGATAATCCAACTACACCAGAAACCAAGGGTGAAGCAGAACTAATATAGTCACAATACCATAGCCAACAACAAACCTAAATCAAACAAGCGTCAACAATCAATGGTCCTTACTCACCCTCAACATTAATGGTCTTAACTCACCTATAAAAAGACACAGGCTAACAGAATGGATACAAAGAAAGAATCCATCCTTCTGCTGCATACAAGAAACACATCTAAGCTTCAAAGATAGATATTACCTCAGAGAAAAGGGTTGGGGAAATATTTTCCAATCAAATGGAAATATGAAGCAAGCAGACGTAGCTATCCTAATATCTAACAAGTTAGACTTCAAACCAAAATTAGTCAAAAGAGATGAAGACGGTCATTTCATATTCATCGCAGGAGAAATCCATCAACACAAAGTCTCAGTTCTGAACATCTATGCCCCTAATACAAAGTCACCCACATTCGTAAAAGAAACACTTTTAAAACTCAAAGCTCATATAAAACCTCACACACTTATAGTGGGAGAGTTCAATATACCACTCTCAACACTAGACAGGACCACAAATCAGAAACTCAACAAAGAAACAAAAGAATTAACAGAAGTTATATCTCAACTAGGGTTAACAGACATCTATAGAGCATTCCATCCAAAGACAAAAGAATATACCTTCTTCTCTGCTCCACATGGAACCTTCTCTAAAATCGACCACATACTAGGTGACATAACAAACCTCAACAGATACAAGAGAATACGAATAGTCCCCTGTATCTTATCGGACCACCATGCTTTAAAATTGGAATTCAACAACAACACAAATAGCAGAAAACCTGCAAACTCATGGAAACTGAACAATGTGCAATTGCACCACTCCTGGGTCAAAGAAGAAATAAAGAAAGAAATTAAGGACTTTCTAATATTCAACGAGAATGAGGATACAACATACCCAAACTTATGGGACACCTTGAAAGCAGTGCTACGTGGGAAGTTCATTGCACTAAGTGCCCATATGAAGAAAACAGAGGATAGTCACATAAGAGAATTAACAGCGCAACTGAAAGCCTTAGAACAGAGAGAAGCGAATTCACCCCGTAGGAGTAGATGCCAGGAAATAATCAACTTGAGGGCTGAAATCAACAAAATAGAAACCAGGAAAACAATACAAAAAGTCAATGCAACAAAGAGTTGGTTTTTTGAGAAAATCAACAAGATAGACAAACCTTTATCCAAATTAACGAAAAAGCACAGAGAGAACATGCAAATTAACAAAATCAGAAACAAAAAGGGGAACATAACAACTGACACAGAGGAAATCCAGACAATTTTCAGGTCATACTTTGAAAATCTGTATTCCACAAAAATTGAAAATTCAAAGGAAATGGACAAGTTTCTGGATAACTATCACTTACCAAAATTAAATCAAGAACAAACAACTTAAATAGACCTATAACCCGCAATGAAATAGAAGCAGTCATCGAAAGCCTTCCAACCAAAAAAAGGCCAGGGCCAGATGGAGTCAGCGCAGAATTCTACCAGACATTCAAGGAAGAACTAATACCACTACTCCTCAAACTGTTAAACAAGATAGAAACAGAAGGTTCATTGCCAAACTCTTTTTATGAGGCCACAATAACTTTGGTACCCAAACCTTACAAAGACACAACTAAGAAAGAAAACTACAGACCAATATCCCTGATGAACATCGATGCAAAAATGCTCAATAAAATACTGGCAAACCGAATTCAAGAAGACATCAGAGAAATCATCCACCATGACCAAGTAGGCTTCATCCCTGGAATGCAGGGATGGTTTAACATACGAAAATCTATCAACGTGATCCACCATATAAACAAACAGAAAAAGAAAAACCATATGATTATCTCACTAGATGCTGAAAAAGCCTTCAACAACATTCAACACCCTTTCATGATAAAGGTCTTGGAGAGGTCAGGTATATCAGAAACATACCTAAACATAATAAGAGCAATATACAGCAAACCAACTGCCAACATGAAACTGAATGGAGAGAAACTTAAGCCAGTTCCTCTAAAATCAGGAACAAGACAAAGCTGTCCTCTCTCTCCATATCTCTTCAATATCGTACTAGAAGTTCTAGCTAATGCTATAAGACAACAAAAGGAGATCAAGGGCATCCAAATTGGAAAGGAAGAAGTCAAACTGTCTCTATTTGCAGATGATATGATAGTTTACATAAGAGAGCCAATAAACTCTACCAGGGAACTCCTACAGCTGATAAACACCTTCAGCAAACTAGCAGGATACAAGATAAACTTAAAAAAAAAAATCAGTAGCCCTACTTTTTCAGACGACAAAGAGACAGAGAAAGAAATCAGAGAAACATCACCCTTTACAATAGCCACAAGCAACATAAAGTATCTTGGTGTATGTAACGCTTACCAAACAAGTAAAAGACCTATATAATAAGAACTTTGTGACTCTAAAGAAAGAAATTAAAGAAGATACCAAAAAATGGAAAGATCTCCCATGCTCTTGGATAGGTAGGATAAACATAGTAAAAATGGCAATCTTGCCAAAAGCACTCTACAGATTTAATGCAATCCCCATTAAAACCCCCACCACAATTCTTCACCGACCTTGAAAGGATAATAATCAACTTTATATGGAAAAACAAAAGACCCAGGATAGCCAAAACAACCCTATACAATAAAAGAATTTTAGGAGGCATCACCATTCCTGACTTTAAGCTCTAC